ATTTTATTGCTCACCTGATAGCATTTATTATGGTCATAAAACGGAGCAGAGGAACGCCGGTTTATTAAAGCGCAATCCTTAAGTTGATTGGATTGAGATAGTTAAGTGTGTGATTATTAACAAATTTAACATTGCCAATTCCTGAAGATATTTAACAACATGACTTTATAAAGATTTTATATCATACAAAATAGCTCTTTTTACGAATGTTGATATTTAATGTAAACAGCTAAATAAAGGCCAAATTGTTAGTACTTGTACAGCAACTTGTTGTTTAAAAATGTTTTAGAGTCATTGTCAAAAAAGATTTTTGTGAATTATTTTTATTTATGGTAACACGTTATTTTATACGAGGTATTATCCTGATGAGCCTCTAACTCCCACGAAAACAGTTACAAAACAATATATTTGTCAGTTACGTTGTTAAATTTTACTTACGTTGTGCATGATGTTTTGGTGTAAAATATGACATGTTTATAGTCAACCAAATCTAAGAAATACATTTTGACAGCTGTCAGACTAATTGCACCAAGCATGCCAACTAAAAAATGAGAACGTACAATATACAATATACAATAAGGTAAGGTTTCAATAAGGTAATGAATTACAATTTGGTTTGAATAGTACCAGCATAAATTAAAAACGGATAATTTAAAAAACAAGATTTATCAGTTTCTTCGTATTTGTTGTTACTGCTTATTTCTAGGGGCACAGTTATACAAATTTAAGATTGAAATTAGATTAAAAATAAATTTATTCAATCACTTTCAGTACAACTGGTAGGGTTTGTCGTTGTTTATAATAATTCTAATTTGATTTTCAATAATGCAGACAAAATTAATGTCTCTTTCAAAGTCATCCATAATCAATCTTTTTTGTTTTTTCTACCACTTTTGGCCATTCATCCTTTGTGAGATGGGCACATGCTTCATTTTTTTATAGCATTTGGTGACAAACGAGCACATAGTCCATCTGATGGTAAGTGGATGCTATGGCCCATAGATATACACATTTATCCTCAATTAAGAATCAAAATGCAAATGCGTTGTCACGCCTGAGGGACTAAGATGCTTCGGTTCCAGTAAAACGGGTCTCCGGTTCTCTACAGTCACCATACGAAACACATCAGCATAACGCTGCTATTTTACGCTGGTATTCTGTGAGAGCGTGGTCCTGCCGTGGTTTAGCCGACCCATTCGTGCTACAACTATAATATAAATGTAGCGTGGCTCTACCACGTACAAAAAGTTATTATAGAAGAAACAGTCCAAAAAGTTAAAGCCGAGTTACATAATAAGAAGACAAACACAAAATCACAAAATTACGCACAGTAAGCTCTCGAAACAGAAACAGAAACTTTATATTTAATATAGATTATGAATAATTCTTATTGAAAGTCACTTTTTTCATTTACCACTGATTCACAAAAAACCCTCTGTGCTTGGAAGAACCAGCAAGAAACCCAACGGGACTAGTTTTTTTTTTGAATAAGAGTTACAATCATGCGTGTTACAATTAACAACACAAAACAAATTAAAAATAGCGTGGTGGCGATCACCCTTCCCGGGGGTTATTATCATCCATAAATTCCTTAATATTAAATTAACCAGTTTTGTACAAACTTAGTTGAATAAAGTTTTTTAACTTTATGTACTTACGTCAAATTTTGTATATTTTCTGGCATTTTGTTGTAAAAGCGTATACATCGCCTCATGAATGCATTGTGGAGTCGAGTTATTTTGTTACGCGTGATAACTGGTACCGAAATAGCGGGAGTTTGAAATTATGTAGTGGTTATTTTAGTAGTAGCTGAGTATATGAGATTTTTGCCTACACAAATTTACTTTGACAAAGTGAAAAAAGTAAACTTGTTTTATTATAATTCATGTAATTTAAGGATTTGAAAATAACAATACTAATTAAACAAATAATACATTAAAGAAATTAATGATTCGATTATTAGATTATTTTTACCGATTATTTGAATATTTTGCCGATTATTCGTATAACAATGAATTTTAATCATCCAAACACTATGCACTATGGTAATATACATGGCGACATATCATTGAAACGACGTCAAGTAAAAAAAGTTAATACTGGTTATTTTTAATATTTTGCTTTGTTTGAAAAATTCTAATTTAAATGTGATAGTGATAAAACACTATACACGTTGTAACGAAATGTAGACAACTTCATAATTATTCGGATTTACGTAAAAGGTTATTTTAAATCCTGTGAGTACGCTTGTGAAAATTTATTACGGAATGATTAATGTGAAAGGTCAAAAGGTATTTCTTAGATTTGGTTGACTATAAGATGTTACACAAGACATTTGAAATTAAGTTAAAGTTATAAAATTTAAAGCATTCGCTCGAATTTTTGTAATTTTTAATAAATAAACAATTTAATTTATAGTTGTTTTAATATCACACCTGTTATATGTAAGACATGGATTGAAAGTATTGGAAAGGTATTTCGAGGGATCTTGTTTCGTGGCTCTTTTACTGCTTGTGTTCAAAATTACTGAAACATCGACTACGTGGTGTACTACTAGTTAGTATCGAAAAGCGGAAATTGTTGGTTTTCGCGTCTGGTACAGTCCACACCAATATAATGTACCTACAGTATAACGTCCAACAGACCGATTTTGGTCATGGCGGCCGGTCTCAATGGAGACTAGCAATCTGCGCAGGACAGGATTATAGTGTCCAAGTGTCATAGTCCGACGGGACGGTAATCCGACACGACCGGAGAGAGATCAAGCTTTACGTACCTTCAGAGGCACGGGGGTGAAACATCACCTGGCTTTGGGCTGCTACTTAGAATTTTTGACCTGGGAATTCATGATCAGCAGACGCATCTACGACCACTAGACCAAAAAGCAGTCGGCCTAAGTATAATATAACGATATACATAATAATATCGTTCAGAAGCATACAATTGTTATGCTGCGTACAGACTTGTATCATGAATGTAACACGAAATCACGAAAATTCGTTACAGAGTACGAATTTTCGTAGTGTGGACGACTTGCGCGTGCGAACCGTAAATTTCATGATTTGTCAGTTTCTAGAACGAACACGCGCAGTGTGCTCGAAGCGCCAGTGTGGACGCGCACGAACACGAATTGAACACGTGCTGAAATCTTATATCAGTCATTAATTCTGCACCAGCTCTCTGGCTGTACAACTCTGTACGCTATCAACGTCGAAGTCTTTAAAAACGTTTTTAAAAAACTTAATACCTCAGTCACTAACTGGTCTTCACACTCCACTCTCTTCGCCTATACTCAGGTGATTGAGTCGTTGTAAATATCAATATTAGATGCGTAACTGCAGATGTTGTCAGTATAATCCATGTCAGTATCGGAGTAACACACATACACGCACACACAAACACACGCACGCACGAGCGCACACACACTCACGCGCGCGGGTGCATTTTCCATAGTGACACATAGCCTGCGTCTATACCACGAAGCCATGTCTCAATGTGTGATTTCATTTTTTTAATGACCCTGTTTGGATTCAAATTCTATCCGAGATGTCAGGGGATGATATAAAACGACTGAAAACTCGAAAAGTCTTTTTCCACCGCCGAGCAAGTGGTAAATCCCGGAACTCGGGTTACGGGAAATTTATAGTGTGTGCTTAGCCCTATCGTAGCCATGGACCATGGTTCACATAACAAGTATTATTCTTCAGTAACTGGCCGAACAAGTTTCATTCGGCGTAAGTAAAAAATCTTTATCTATTCCGAGAAACTAATGACATACTCGTAAATACTGGTACGAATATATACAAGAAGTACATTTAGCCGTGTAGTGGCGGTGTAAGAATATCCTAAATCAAAATGTCAAAATACGAGGCAATCTATGGGGAGGCCTATATTCAGCAGTGGACTACAAGAAATGCTGTAGGATAAATAATTATCTTATCATTGATTTCTGTTTAAATTTGTATTAAAGGGGGTTTTTTGTAAAATTTCTTTTGTGATAAGCTATGCAATAATAATAATTAAAAATTCGCACATGCGTGGTAGAGTCACGCTACAGCGATAATATCATGGTTGTAGTACGACTGGGTCCGCTTGACCGGGGTAGGACCACGCTCTCCCACAATACCGGCGTAAAATAGCAGCTTAATGTTTCTCTCTTCTGTATGGTGAGTTTAGAGAAACGGATACCATTTTTACTGGAAACGAGGCATTCCATCCTAGTCCTCAGGGGTGACAACGCCTCCGCATTTCGTTACTTAATCTAGGCTAAATGTAGATATTTATGGGCCACTGCATCCACTTACCGTCAGGTGGACTGTGTGCTCGTTTGTCATCCATATTCTATAAAAAAAACTGAGAGGCGCCAAGAGTGCCCCCTAGCACACAATTTGCTTGCTAAAATATTTAGACTATATTAGAGATGTCTTACTTTAAATGTTCAAAGTCTTTTAACTTTTAAACGCTTTATCTATACGTACTGATTACTTTATCACAAAGAAAACTCCTGTATTTATTTTAAAAATAAAAATGGGCTCACTCTTGCCCTTCATCTAGCCAGAGAGCAAAGATGAGGTCTACGACGGAGTGAGTTTGCCCAGGAAAAGCCTATTCACACGCACCTTGAAGAGGTTCTGGTTATACGCACTCGGAAAAACAGATGCCGGCGGAGGGTAAGTTGATATTTTGCTAAGGCATCCCAAAGGTATATATTTGTATAAAATTAGAAGCTGTACAGGCGTGAAGTATTGCTTCACCTTATTCATAATACACAGTTTTTTGGCCGCAATTTGTGGTTTAGATTTCACCTGTAAGCCGAGAAACTCGTTAATCGTTTTGTGAAGAATAGACAGCCTGCGTTTGAGCGGCGTTGAAAGTGACTAGATTGTCGTCACCTCACTGGGAGCCTTCTAAATTATATTTACATTTGCGTCATCAATAAAAAAGGTACATAAAAATAAACATATAGTTAAATATAATTTATTAATAATTATGAAAACAATTCAATAAGCGTATCCTTTCCCTTTTTCTCTCTTCAATCCATAGTAACCCAGGAGGCACCACATAATTGCTACTAATAGCAATCCTAATGCATCTTGAACAACAAAGTGACTTGAGTATCCATTCTCCATTAACACAGCTGTTCCATCTTTCAAACAGTTTGATGTTATGTTTGTTGGACAATCTGAAGAAAAATAAAAATATAAATTTTTCTTTATTATGTTATATTTATAAACATACTACAGTTTGCAGCTTTTTTGTCAGCGTAAGCGAATCCATTTCTGATATGAGTGACGTAGAAGTGAACGGGGAAAATTCTAAGCAAATTTAAACAATAACAGTCGTAAACACCCACAGACAACTTCAAAAAAGAATTCCACGGAAACGTAGAAACATTTTAATATCTTAAAAAGCGGGTAGTACTTTAAATTTTAAAATATTTCGTCGTGGGAATTGAAGCTCAAGTAAAATCCTATCAATGTAGGGAAAGGCCTTATTATCAATAATGAAATAATATAAACTCATTTACCGTGAGTAAACGATGTAGTTACGGTGTAAGAATATATAATACCGTTTATCTTCTCGTGTGTGTCGTGAGAAACAATTCGAATAACATCTAAAAAAAACTTCGACTAACAAACCACCAAGTGTGGTAAAGATGGCAAATATAATATTAGGCAATCTATCATCATCATCATTACAGTCCTTCACAACTCCACTGCTGGACATAGGCCTCCCCCAAGGAATTGTTTGACTTCCTGCATGTCTTACCATGTCATCACTCCATCTAGTGGGGGTGCCACTCGAGAACTTTTTTCTTCATCAGTTGTCGGTTCTTCGAGCTATGTGACCGCCCCATTCTTCTTTCACACACTTCAGTTTACTAATCCTTTGGGCTATGTCGGTCGCTGTGGTTCTACTGCAGATATCCTCATTTCTAAATTTATCACGCAGAGAAAACGCTGATCATAGCCCTCTCCATAGCTCGCTGAGCGACCTTGAGCGTCCTCATACGGCCAGCAGTGAAGGACCACGTCTCAGTTCCATCCATCACTGGCAACACGCCCTGGTTGTACAATTTCGTTTTCAGGTTTTGCGGTATACCTGACGAGAAGAGTTAACGTAATTTCCCGAACGTTACCCAGACGAGTTGAATCCGACGATTGACCGGTCGAAGTTGGACTTACTTACTCGGACTATTTGTCTCAGGTAAACGTACTCGTCAACAAATTAGAGGTTAGTGCTCCCAACAACTACCGGCATAGGTGTGACGTGGAAAACATGATCTTTGTTTGTCCGTGTTCATCTTAAGACCTATCCGTTGAGAGATACTATTGAGGTCATTGAGTGCTTAGTGGGTGCTTAGGTCCTCCAGCGATTCTGCCAAAAGGACTATAACGTCAGTAAATCGAAGACGAGTGGCGAGTACAATACTCGCCATTGATATTAATACCGTATCCTTTCCAGTCCAGTAGCTTGAAAGCGTCTTCCAATGCAGCGGTGAAGAGATTCGGGGATATAACGTCACACTGTCTCTCTCGTCACACCTCTCTGCAGTTGAATAGATATCGTACTCTGGTTATGTACGCGAACAGCCGTCGTAGTCCTACTGTACAAACACTTCAGTAGTTCTATATACTGACAGTCAACTTGGCACTGCTGAAGGGACCGTAGCACTGCCCAAATTTCGACGGAATCAAAGACTTTCTCATAGGCCACATACGCCAGGCAAAGTGGCAGATTGTACTCTTCGATCTTCTGTACAATATGCCACATGGTATGTCTGTGGTATATGGCACTGAAGCCTTTTCGGAAATCGGCTTGTTCGGGAGGCTGGAAGTCGTCGAGTCTGCGTGCGAGACGATTCCTAATGACTCTGCAAAACAAATAGCAATCTGCAATACAAAAAAAAAACAGCACGTAGACAAGAGTCAAGAGAGCGTTGTCGCCTTTCTTGAAGAACAAGACCACCGCACTTGCGCTCCTCGTCTCCGGAGTAGTGCCACCATGGATGACGAAATTGGAGAGGTTATGAAGGACCTTAAGTACCGGTGTTCCACCGGTTTTCAGAAGCTCCGCTTTAATTCCATCCTCGTCTGGGGCCTTGCAGTTTTTAAGGTGCTGGAGAGCCATTCTAATCTCGATCATACTAACGTTCGGGATATCATAGGAATAGTGTCGTGTCGTAGGAAATCTATGGGGATACCTATACTCAGCAGTGCCTCAGGACTGACTTCAGGACTTTGATAGGCTGTAATGAAATAATGATGATGACAAGTATGTGAATAAGACTCATAAGTGAGCCAAATTTCAAGTTAAAAACTTGTTTAAAAAAATTTGTACTTAAGATTTTTTTGTATACCTAATTGAAAATAGGAATTGCACAACATTACCTATATAATTTTAGAATCATCTTACGGATATAATACAGAATAAATACGTAATAGCTTCGATTGCACGCACATCTTCCTAACCACACCTTATTTGCGACCATGTATATGTTAATAATGATTTATTAAGTGTCGACAATATAATAAGATAAGACTGAGTAAACATTGCATATTTTGCATCATCTATGCGTTTCTTGCAATAGAAACCTGTGTAGGAATATAAACTTCGATCCGTTCACTTTAATTAAATGTTTAATGTATTGTAAATTAATTTTTGTACGGGCTAACTATACGTATTATATTGTTTTGTTGAATCTATATTGGCGCTATATAGGAAATACTTCAAATAATAAATCTTTTTCGCTATAAATCGTGATGCAATCATTTATTCCATATATAAATGTAATAGCTAACATACACAACTACTTAAGATTAAGAAATTCAGTAAGGACTATTTCGTAATATAAGTATAACTTATTACCCTTGTGAAATATAATATACTTTCCGACCAAAAATATTTTACTCGTATATTATATGATCTATAAGGAACTGGGCGTGTGGTTTTCTACTCGCTAGTCTGAGTGCCAAGTATATCAAATAGCGGTTACCTACTCCAAATCCTTGTAACATGTTACTATCAGATCATGGAGAGATGGATATAGACGCTTAGATTTAATTATTAGTAATTGCTTGCATACCATAACAATTACATAGAGCAATAACAAAATTGCTACAACTAGTAAACATAGCGTTACACAAAACTTTCATCAGGAGTATGTATAAAATAGCAATATGAGGAAAGGAATATGATACACATAATATATAGAGTTTTATTTCGCAATTGCAAGATCAAGATCCTCGTTTAGCACAGATTTGTTTCTAGTTTCTGAAAAAATTAAGGATATTTAATGAATAAGGATAAAACAAAATAAAAAGTTACAACCTATACACGTACCACTGTACTACTACCAATACGTACCATCTCAAACAAAATAAAGAAAAACTATAAAATGGTGTTTTGTATATTTATTAGATTAAATGTCTTATTACCGTTTTTGAAACCTATTATAAGAATAAGACCACGTTTCACAAACTTTTACTGTCTTTACCACGACGATCAAATGAGACCAATCCGACGATTAACCTTAAAATGAAAATATGTTTACTTAGCTTTTATCAAATACCTACCTTGATTTAGTTGTCGGCTAGAGTATTTTCTTCTCAGGGCTGAACAAATTATTAAAAAAAAACATTTTAATTTTTTTCATCGAATGTTTACTATTTTTTCTCAGGGCTGAACAAATCATTAATAAAAACATTTTAATTTTTTATTGTCGTGCGTTACTATTAGGCCTTTACCCATGAAACTGCCGTTTTTTATAAAATAAGTTAACGTAATTTTTTTCTGACTGATCTGATTTTTTGTTTTTGCCAACGCAGTGGCAGTTTATTAATTCTTGAAGAAATCACCTGGACGGGAGGTAACAAATTCTTCAAAGGCATTTTGTGCGGCCTCTCGGGTATTGAATTTTTTTCCGCCAAAAATATATCCACATTCTGGAAAAAGTAGTAGTCAGGAGGCGCGAGGTCGCGTGAGTGCGGCAGCGGAGAGCTCCCAACCCCAACTCTTGTATCTAATAACTTCCAGTAACTTGGAGACCTTCAGTTGTGCAATATGAGGTCGCGCGTTATCGTGCAGGAGCAGCAGGGACGAGCGATTGACCAAACATGATTGTAGACTTCTCCATCATTGTGCTCAGTTCTTTACAGTACACATCTGCAGTAATGCTCATCCCGTTTGGTATGAAGCTGTGATGCATCACACCGGCGCTAGACCACCAAACAGTGACCATCACTTTTGTAGAGCGAAGTTTTCGTTTAGGGCATTGTTTAGGAGCTGAACCAGGATTCCCACCAACTTGCTGAACGCTTGCGATTGTCAAACAGAATCCATTTTACGACGGAGGTAACCATGCGGTTCAAATTCCTTCGTTTGTGTACCAGTTAAGCAGTGCAAGGCACATCCCAAAGCGTGCTTCGCGCTGGCGATCATTGCGATCGTGGGCACCCATTTATCTAGCTTTTTTACCTTAACAATTTGACGCAAATGGACCAATATTGCTTTGATGCTAAAGTCGAAAGCTGTTGATAATTAAGACGTAGATTGAGTATAATCAGCTCCCACAATCGTGTTTAATTCGTCATTCTCGACCAAAGTTTTCAGAGGACCACGGGGTTCATGTTACAGGTCGATATTTCCAGAACAGAAGCAGGGAAGCCAATAACAGGTGGTGCGTTCGTTTTTACTGTTTAGTATTCGCTCGGTAAATGTAGTTGATGTTGCATGCCGCATATGCTGCCTTCCTGCCATGACGATTTTTTTATAGAATAGGATGACAAACGAGCACACAGTCCACCTAATGGGAAGTGGATGCTGTGGGTCATAGACATCCACATTTATTTTCAATTAAGTATCAATATGCAGATGCGTTATCACTCCTGAGGACTAAGATGGAATGCCTCGTTTTTAGTAAAAAGGGTCTCCAGGTCTTACCACACAAAACACAGTAGCATTAAGTTGCTATTTTACACTGATATTATGTGAAAGCATGGTTTTACCCCGGTCAAGCCGACCCATTCGTGCTACAACTATAATATAGCTGCAGCGTGACTACCGCGTATAAAATATTACTCATATTCCACAATTACTCGAAAGTTTAACGTATCCATGATGACGAAAATTTAAACGCTATGAAAACATCTAATGAATAAACAAATGTCTAATTAAAAAAAACATGTTTTTAAAAACAAATTAATTTGAAATTACTAGCCAAACAAAAATTATTTTGATTTGAAATAACTCGTACTGCAGAACGGTAAATTCATACGTAACGACCTGTTATAAAATTGCTGTTTTTTGTCTGGTTTAGTAAGATATTATCTTGGATTGGACTTGAATTTGGAATTCAATTCAAATTAAATGTCAAATACAGAGCTATCACACTGATTTTAAATTGAGTTGTCCATTTCTTCTTTCATTCATGTCATTCCGCTTGCGTGCTCTAGCGTTAAAAAAATTGTATTATTAGTCGAATAGGAGTTCCTCGTGACACGCAATATAACAACGTCCCATGCACTAGGGTTCATAATTGAACTAAATTATCTCCGATCACGTCAGAGTTAGCAGTAGGAATAAGAAGATAGTATGAAGTTGGTATGTGGGTTTAATTTTAATTTTTTTATCCTGGTAGGAATGATTTCTTGCGAGGGTGGTCTCGCCACTAGTATGATGCACTGCACTTGATTATTTTCTTGTATTAAGTTATTTTAAATTTAAAGCGGGTAACCTATGAGCTTACTGGAGGAAAACAACAGTCGTGTCGAAGCTTGTATTGACTGAAGGGATACAGAATCAGATGGACATTGATAAAATAAATAAATGCCTTATCGACATTATCTCAAATTGTCCGTATGTCCATATGGACATAAGCTGGCAGTATTCATTACAGAGTTTTAATGAGCTAGCACAAAAATTATCCACTTAAAAACATACAAAGCTGCTAAAAATTTAAGTAGTAACTAAGAAGTTACTACTCAAATTACTCGGATATTTTGTCACTCTCGTATATATTATGTACATTAGCTTACGATTAAAAATGATACTAGTTCACCGCATTATGGTTCACAGCATGTCGCTGAACTTTATATGCTTTTAGCTTAAGGTTATTCAAGCATGTGAATATGCTAAACACGTGGATTTTTAATTTAATTTTAATTTATTCGCTAACACACAAGCGATTTTGATCAGATATACATTTGTAACAACCCTATTTAATATATTCAGCTGCTTCTTTCTTTTTACTTTAAATATTAAGAAATGTCGTATTTCTGTTTTATAGAACCATAAATATAATTGGATGCTTATCTAAGCCAATGTGAAGACGCCTACAATATTTTAATGTTGTTTCTAAACAATTTTTCTCATCGTATTCGTAACAATGGAATCAGTTGAAGATAATGAACAATTTGGTTTTGTTTCATTGTTTCTTTTAAAGCTTTATAATATATTATTGGTATCGTCGTACTAAATATGTACATGGAATAGAATATAATATTTTTTATTAATTTTTATTAATATAGATTACAAAAATAGATTAAATGCATTTTAAAGTCATTTAAGTTTTACTGGTTAAGAAAAAACAACTGTTCAGGCAAAAATTAGCAAAAATCCCAGGAAAATGAAAAACGTTTGGAAAATCCAAAAGTGCACGCCTCATTTGATTATATAAAAAATATCTCTAGAATTTAAATATAAATTTATTATAATTTAATTTAGAATATTTTTTGTAGAAAAGTACGAGTTGCTTTTTACATTTCCAATTTACAATTAAACGAGACCAAATTACTCAGTGATTTTTAATAAAAAAAGGATTATTTTGATACATTAATTCTAACGATCGTAATCGTGCGCCATCCACACATACAGACATCCGGGAACCCTGGAATTTTTTTTCTATCAGTTTGTTTTTACACTAAATACAAAAAAAAATACTTTTAAAAATAATAGAAACATGAAAACGAGTGAATTGTCGATACATGTGTATTTTTATTATTCTAAAAGTGCAATAGTAAAAAAATAATAACATTTTTTTGACGGCTCCGTGGCGTAGTGGCTTAGCAATGAGTGGCCGCGCTGGGGGTCGCGGGTTCGAATCCCGCACGGAACAAGTATTTGTATGACCTACAAGTAACTTAACTGTTCCGAGTCAGGATGTTTGTCCTTTGTGTTTGTAAACTGCCCCCACGATACAGGAGAAAATCCTAGTGTGGAGGTAAAGTTTTTAAAAAAATATATAAAAATTTTAGCTCAGAAAATTACTGGATTTTCATTAGGTGAGAGTAGAGCACAACCTCAACACTTCGCTTATGAGGCGTGCATTGCATCCCTAAATTTAAAAAGTCATAAGGACCAAAAAGAAGAATGAGAGATAATAATAGTCTTACACTCAACAGAAATGTCACTATTTGGAAATAAATGTAACGCAGATGGTCACACAGCGTTATGAAAAGTTGCATTTCAGATACGGCATGGCAAGTATTGACAAAACAATGGCTCTTTATTTTTAAACAGATTTTTAATTCTTCTACTAGGAATATCCGTAGGTTGGTTTATTACCAGTGGTGGTGAACCTTCATATATTAACGTGCCATTATTCTAAGGAAATGTTTAATTAGGTAATAGACGTGCCAAAATAATTTTGCCTTTGTGGTTATCGGGAAAATAATAGTCCTATACTATCGACTCAAAACTCTTTAGTTACTATAAATAATAAATAAAGAGTTTTGAGTCGGGACATAATAAATGTTTAAGTTATACGCGTAATTCAAATTAAAGTAACATTAGTGTGACTTCTGTTGTTGCAGATTAGATGACAAATAACTTATATTGGGGTTGTGAAATCCTAAATATAACACAAATGAACTTTTAAATACAGTTGTGTCAACGAAATTGACTATTATGGTATGCGTAAACGAACTATGCCTTTCTTGGGGGAGGCGTAGACTTATGAAGGGCTGTAATGATGATGATGAAACGAACTATGCGTCATTATCATTAGCACTAGTAGTCCACGATGTAACTCGCGTTCGTTCGTAATATATCATAGTGAATATTGTGACTCGTGGCGTGCCCAAAATAAAGACGTTTTTAGCTCAGAAAATTACTGGATTTCCATTAGGTGAGAGTAGAACACAACCTCAACGCTTCGCTTATGAGGCGTACCAGGCGCTTTCCCTTATGAGGTAACCCAAAATATTTGTCGCGTGCCATCGATGGCACGCGTGCCGTGGGTTAGCCATCCCTGGTTTATACATTTCTAATGTAATAAATATATTACTAATATTTCTGAAATAAACATTAATCTCTTTACTTTTCTAACAAATTAACTTCCCCCGCTATGAAATCTGTCAAATATTTAACCGCGCTGCCACGCCATGTAGGCAGAAAAAATCATGAATGCCTTCTTTTATTATTTTTACTACCTTCAAACACAACGGAGATTAAAACTTTGTAAACCCAACTTTTTCTTATAAATTTTTTTGTCCATGGTTCCTCAACAGGCAACCGGTTTTGTTTATTTAATAAACGGACCGTGATAAAGAGGGTCGTTAGACCCACATTCAAGAGAAAATCCAAAATATTTTTGTTTCATTATCTTCTCAGTGATTCTCAGTTTAACTTTCTTGACTACGTACTCGAGCTTGATTTAGGTTATTAAAAGTGGAACAAAAAATAAAACTTACCAATTTCTCCGATCTGCCTCCAATAAATATTGCTTATAGCGTCCATCGCGTAATAGAAATGAGAGCTGTATTTGACTGGATACAACCATATTGGCAGGGAAGATATACGCAAGAATGCGCCGGACATCAGAAATAAAGGTAAATCAGCACAAGGCATGACGTCACCCATTAGGCCAGAAGAAATAAATATGGCTCCCATACCGAGACCTAAAAAAATTGGTATATATATGTGTTATTTCTTTGCATATAAATTTGTTTCTTTAATTTTTAGAAATAAAATAGTTTTAATGTAAGCAGTGTGGACTGTTTATCTCTATTGTAACTATCTGTTATATCTGTCATCTGTAGCTTAGGTAAAATAAGGTTTTAAACACAAAAAAAACATATGTAAGCGTTAGCCCTATTATATTCACGAACTGATGATGCCGCTCGCCAGTCAATGAGGTTTTGCTTCGGCATGTTTGAACAAATATACCGTCGATTGTAGGTCGCAGGAGGGTCTTATTTTAGCGGAATACACCACGTGTCGTTGCCATTTTGAGCAGCCATCAACCCATCATGTTGAGTATTTACAAATCTTTTACGGTGTACATAAATAGTGGATTCTCGCCATGTATGACGCAATCAACTACCTCATATCCCCCATAGGTTTCGTAAGAGGCGACAGAAGGAAATTAAACAGGTGACGAGTAGCATCATCTTCATAAAACAATACATAATAATAAAAAGCTGCGGCGGCCAACCTGTTTTAAAAGCGTGACTACTGTACCAAATATCCCCTCTATGAGGGAAGCCTATGTACGGAGTATACTTGATCACCTTTTTTACCGTCTGGAAAAAATAGGGTGTAACATCTGAACGGAGTTATATGGCACTGATATTTTATAAGAAACAAAAACAATCATTTTGAATTAAAAGCTTGAAAATTAGCCTGTGACCCTGCAAAGTGACAAGGTCAAAGTGACAAGGTCAAAGTGACAAGGTCAAAGTGATAAGGTCAAAGTGACAAGGTCAAAGTGATAAGGTCAAAGGTCCCACTAAATCTATTGTTTTATTGCCGTTCGTAAAGTAGGGTGGATATGATTCGAATTTCGATAGATTTTAATTAATTTATTAATTTAATAAAAATTTATTTTCTTATTTTTGTAAAATATCAGCGCCGACAGTAGACTTCTATTCCGTTCACATGTTAGGCCCTATTTTTTTCCCGACGTTAAAAAAGATCATCCGGTATATGAAGGCTAATAAAAAAGTTACAATAGCTTCTTCTTCTTAAGCTTCGGTAAGAAGCGACTATAGATTGCCACAGATATCAATGTCCTTTGATAGGTGTTGGCATAGCCATCGTTTTTTAAGCTACGTCCGAGACATCTGATCATGGTGAATTAAAACCAAAGCCTTTACCTAACATGAGAGTCATATGTTTATCAGCTTTCTTTTACAGGCTGACGAAGAACAAGAAACTTCGCAATAATAAAGTACTCCTATTAATAGGGTAATTATCACATATTATGTTCACCTACCATAAGCAGTAGAAGCCATACCAGTTAAAAATAGCGTGACGTAAAACTCTAGAGCAGTCAGAGTATAATTAGGCATATATACAGCAGATGTTGCTATAGTAACATATGGAATCGGCAAAATTATACAGCGTGGTATCTGTAACAACCGAAATAATATAAAATTGTGTTATGTTTGTACTCCTAATATGAAATAAATTGGTGTTACACGGAAAGGATTTCATTATTTTTGTGTTTTTTTGACGGTCAAGATACAATAAGGGTATTATTTCATTAAAAAAAAACTGACAAATGCACGTAGGAAGCTCGTCAGATGCCGTATATAATTTGGTAAGTGGTTACTTTGCTTTCATTGCAATAATTAATATACTGAAATTCATAAATTACAGGCAGGTCAGGTGTAATGCATCGGACACTGCTGTAACAAAAAATAGTCAGATTAAAAGAAAAAAATTTACTTTGCAGTGGAAAAAAGTTTCCTATACATCGGTATACATCACAGATGATACTTCAACTACAAATGTAAGTTTGCAATCGCAAAACATATTTTTTTGTGTGATATAAGTAAAAAAATTACAATTTTTTCCTTTACTATTGCTGTTGAACCTTGCTTCTTTCCAAATTTCACGCTTTTATAGTTCATAAAAGATAGCTTGATCTCTGCGACAGCTGTCAGTAAAATCACGCCTATGAAGTCCTGAATTTCTTAGTAGTACAGACAGGTCTTTTGGGCATGCCTATTAGGTCGGCATGCCCATATTCATTTCTACTAAGAAATTCAGGACTTCATAGGCGTGATTTTACTGACAGCTGCCGCAGAGATCAAGCTATCTTTTATGAACCATAGGTCAACGGGATATACTTGCCCTGTAGATTTTGGATTTGAGTCAGTTGCGAGAAATAAAATATGGCCGTAAAACATTAATGGCCGTATATTATGATTGTTGACTTTCTTAAGCTTGAATTCTTTACACCTCTAAGAGACCGTAGAGCTTAGTAATTGATATTAATTTCAACTTGATACCTCCATCCGTTCCTGAGAAAAAGGACCTTGACAGATGGAAAGTTGAATACTCGGATGGGCGTACAACAAAGTAACTCAATATGGTTTAATTTTTTGTGGGTTTAAAACCCAAAACATAATAATAATAGATTCATCGGTAACTGATGGTCGCAATACCGAAACCACTGGCCCTTCGTCCCCACCACCGCCGCTTAGGGCTATCTAGGGAGCCGACAAAATCGAATCCTAATCGGGCTTGCCAAGCCAATTTAGTATGCTAACCTCCCACCATAGGCTCGCCATGTAATTCCAAGATGTAAGATTACATGTAAAATGTAACCCGTTGGGGGGTGAGGTCGCAGTATATATTGACTTGATTTTTTTTTATATAGCATTAGGTGAGAAATGAGCACACAGTACACCTTATCTTACACAGGCATGATATGCGACTATTATAAAACAAAATTATTTAGATCAATTCCTTTAGATCATAGATTAGGTAAATAGGTACCATCCTCTTCTCTATTTCTGCTGTAAAGTAGTAGCGCTTGCTCTGTTGTGTTCCAGTCTGAAGGGCAAAGAGAGCCAACGTAATTGCAGGCTGTGAGGCATTCCATCTTAGTCCTTAGACCTTAGATCTTAGAGTTGACAACACATCTCTAGCCTTCTTTGTTTAAAGTATGTTGATAAAGTTATTTCAGGCAAACGCACTTTATACTTTATGTGGCGAAGAAAGTACGTGAAAATACTTTATTTTACCTGTTTAACGATTTTCAAGGTTTTATTTTAATGTTTACTAAAAAAAAATTATATATACAAGCAATTTTTTTTTCTATTTAAAAAAAATCTTTGTCTGCTATTCATGCCCGTCACACTTTAGCGTTATTTACAGTTTATTATTTGATGAATGCTAGGTGATGGGATGAAAGGAACAGAGTACAATCTTAACATAGACATTAAATGTGAAGATATTGTGTGTATAATATAGCATGTCAAATAATAAATAATACTTTATCTTCACTTGTCGTACTTTATTTTTTAGCTTAGAAAAGTATATAATATATTATGCTTTATTTAACCATTCAAAAAAAAAAGGTGGCAACCCTATCTGTAAGTTACATTACAATTGCGCTTACCATTAGGTGGTTTGTAAGTATAGTTTTATAGGAAAACACATATAATTACGTACTTATATTAAAGCGTATTAAATTATTCTAAAATATTTCCGCGAGATTTCTTTTAAAAACAACGTCTTTACTCTCCAGTGTACTTGAAAATAATAGTTACAAACAGAATATCTTTAACAATAATGTGCGTTAATTCGCTAATACTAGTAACAATCAAGTTTTTCTTCAAACAATATTCTTTGCATTTATATTAAATAACCGTGTATCTACCGGTTCAGAATTTATTTAATAGCTCGTATCTTGCGGTGGATCAGGTAATATGAGATATAACGGAGAGATCACGTAGGTAGGTTAGATTCAACTGACTGTAGAAGTAGAATAAGAATTAACATGTATTCTGTACCTATGTGTGCGTTTTTATCTTCAAAATAACAATCCTTATCAATATTTTTAAAATACAAACAAATACTACAAACTACACTATATTTACGATCATCGGAAATAGAACAAGGAGCTACTGAATCATCATATCCGCTCCCTCATACCAATGTATTAAATGGAATACGATATCAATAGAGGAAATGGAAAACCATTTCCTCTGTTGGATTTTAATTATAAAAATACATTTTACTGACAGTGAGTGTAAAGAGGACTATATCATCACGAATACTTGCATCTTTTAAGTAACATGTAGATACTTATATTAAAACTGTTAGTCATTGTTTTTAACCCTCAAAGGCAACAAACGAAAAAACGCTTACTAAAGTTTTATCGTAATTGGTTGAGTGGCATTAGAACACATGCCATGGACGTATGAAAATAGGAAAGGATGAATTATAATTATGAAAGGAACAATCTTTATTGGCTTATAATTAGATTAAGCTTTGTCTCATTTACAAGTCTATTAAAAGTGGAATGTACTTTATACTGCTATTTTTTCATGTAAACGTCTAAACAATATTTTTTATTAACGTACATAAAAGGCTATAAGTTCAATAAACCATATTAACCGTACCGGCTTGAGCCGATGTCTTGAACATTTGCATGTCAAATTTTTTATTTCTACTACAGTTGACGTAGATATCAATAAAAATTATTGACGCTGAACTAAACCACTTTTGTCCTTGTTATAAATTATTGATGCGCGACTGTATTGTGGACAAAGATTTTTTTTCTTCTACTGCATCATTTCGTATTAGGCCACTTTCGAACAACGTTTTTCTCGTTAAAGATGTCACAATCACGCAATGCAGGCGCACTCTCTCTTATACAACATGTACCAGATGTTAATATATCTTCATTAATTCTATCTATTTTTAGTAATCCTATTAATCGCCTTTTTTGATAACCTAGGAAATACGGTGAACGATTCTCATACACGGCACAGTCGAAGAGTTTACCAATTTATTTACAATTTGTTTACATATTTATTATGTGATAGTATCTACCTTGGCGACCGACATTCTCGGTATTGGAAAACAATTACAATTTTCTCAGAATTCATACATATTGAGATATTCAAACTAGCTGAGTTTTTAAAGTTAAAAATTATCTAAATATAATTTTTTGGTGGTAGCTGCTTTTCTATCTAGTACTACCACGCTCATATTTAGTGGTGGTAGGACTCCCTCTTTGCCACGTAGTCCGTTTGGGTAGAGGGTGGTGCTTGTTACTCTATGCCACCTAAGAACAGTGCTTCCGCTGCCGTGTTTCGATCTTAAGGATGGAGATCCAATAAACGGATAGACAGCCAGTAGAATAACAGGCTGTGAGAGAATCTATTTTAGTCCTCAGAGATGACAACTGTATACTTCTTTGTTTGAAGTTGGCTGCAGGTATCCACGGACTGCAGTATCCACTTACCATCAGGAGCACTGTAATTTCATGTCACTTCATTTTCATTAAAAAATGCGTAATTTTTAATCGCGATCCTACTACCGGTCAGTGCAGTCGCTTCATAATGATGTAATGGCTCAGATGCAGTGGTCACAACCGACACCCTCTTATGGTCGAAAATGAAAGAATCTGAAACAAAACAGATAATGACGGGCTTACTCTTGTTGAGAAGAGACGTCGGTCGAGACCCGTCTGTAACCAGCGTGGGACCGCCAAAATGAACGCAAGTACAACACTGCGTATTGTAGAGACCATCATACAGTTCTACATCTACCATTTGGATAAAAGTACGTCGGGAGAAGATGTTCTACGTTTCGTGGAAGAACGAAACCGATGCCGCACAGAGGATTTGTTTCTTTACATTTACAGCGTCTGGAGTCTAATAGATCAACGAACTTCAAATCCTACGTACTCTAGGTTCCTGCAAAATACAAAGAGACATTCCTCGCTCCCGATCCCTGGCCCTCTGGGCTAAGATGTTTTTAATTTTTATACGTCTTTGCCTCTGGGGTAGGTTTTCGCTGATACAGGGACGCGCCAAAGAAGAAAGTTCCCTAAATAGTGTTATGTTTATATTTTATATGTATTTTTAGATTAAGGTATATATTGCTATGGGCCAATGTTCTTAATTTTTAAGTTCTAAATGGTCTAGTATATCACCCCTTCAAATTTGTGCACCCGACCACCAAACACCCTGTATTTACTTTAAATTTAGATTAATTTTGAACCTCTAATTTATAATGCAAATCTGTATTTTTAGATTAAGGTATATATTGCTATGGGCCAATGTTCTTAATTTTTAAGTTCTAAATGGTCTAGTATATCACCCCTTCAAATTTGTGCACCCGACCACCAAACACCCTGTATTTACTTTAAATTTAGATTAATTTTGAACCTCTAATTTATAATGCAAATCTGTTCGATACTAAAACAACTGAAATACTTAAGGGTAGGAATAGTTTTTATTTTATTTAAACATATTTGCATTATTTAGGTATACTTAATTTAAGTTAGAAAATAATCCGAGTTAAAGTTTTTATGTTAAGACATTTTTTATCTATCACATACAGCATTTTTTACGGCGGTCCCATTTAATTATGTAGGCCGTTGGACCGCTTATCTGAATTATAGAAACCGGTCGTCAGTAAAAGCAGGCTGTCCTTTTACCATGTTACTCTACTAGCATTTTTATTTATAAGGGACCGTCATAAATTTTATAGACATTGGCCGTAAACAATTTTTTTCTTTTAATTTGTATTGGACGGATTAATTCTCTTCTATATAAATTGATTTCTATTTTAATTGGTTGTTTTGCGACATTTTTTAATCATTACTACATTATTTGAAATAGCAGTATCAGATGGTTTGCTTGCCTTATATCTAGTATTATTATTAAATACAAGCTGTTTTCCACGACTTTGCATGGGTGTAATTTAGGGTTTTAATTTTTTGCGCGGAACTCTAATTCCTTTTCTCAAATAAAAGATCTGCCAGTGAAGTTCACTTCCGTCAAATTGGTCCAGCCGTTTTGTAGATTAGCCGGAACAAACAGACAGAGTGCCTACCCAGACGGACTCCTAGATAAAGTGCTATTAAAGCTACTAGATCACGTTTCGTTTTAAAGTTTGCTATAATATTACAAATTTCTCAGAAGAAAATTTTTTAAGGAGTCCTACCACCAATAAATATAAGTGTGGTGTGGTGCCTACCCAGACACACTCCTAGATAAAATGCTATTAAAGCTACTAGAGCACATTTCGCTTTAAAGCTTTAAAAAAAGCTACAATATCACAAATTTCTCTAATATCTATCATAAACAATGCCATCGTTTCCGCTATTGATTTGTTGAGTCTAGTTTTAGATGCCAATTGCATTTCCGCAGTATTAAGTTGATTTAGTGTATGTGTGGCTAAATCACAACTTATTGGTATCTGTAATAAAAATTATAAAATTGCATAATAAATAATAAATCTGTAAACAAATAATAAAACTGTAAAAAAATAATAAAGTTGAAGTATCTGTTGGTAAATTCAAAATAACAGCTTTTTACTAAATGCATATGTTAGTATATCAAATGTATACGTTAGTATATCAGTGACTTAAAAGCTTTTTGACTGCCAAAGAACAAAAAGTGAGGGTAAATGAATACTTTAGTAATGAAATACCACGTAGCTACCGAGTTCCGCAAGGAAGTACACTTGGGCCGACTCTTCATCTTATTTATATTCATAGTCTTTGTAGGTTGAATATGAGTGGTTGCAATCTTATGATGTTCGAAGACGATACTGTACTTCTTTTTCACAGTTACAGCTAGATGGGACTACACAGTGTAGTTGAAAAGAAATTAAGCACGGTAACAGTTTGGCTAGGGAATAACCTACTGTCTAAAACTAAATATTTATATTTTAGCAAAACCAAAGTTTCTCTCCCAGAAAATGAATTCAAATTGCGCAACATACCAACCCATGTAATAGGCAACAATGTGATAGTAACGGTAGATGTGATTGCGAATACTTAAGTCACATTCTAAAATATTTGTGTGTAACTATTGACATTCACCTGAGATGGGACTTACACTTAAATATAGTGGCAGGTCATTTAAGGAAACTCATATATCCTAAAATGTCTCCGTTCTGTAGCTGATCACAAACTTCTTGTGAATGTGTATAAATGTGTTTCATGGGGCGGAGCTGCTAAATCCCACATGATAATTGTTGAAATAACCCAAATAAATTAGTACTAGAAAACCATAAGTACTAGAAAACCATTTATTAAACAAATTAATACCAATTATAGGAAGATATCTACGTTCAATTACACCGTCACAACCCAATATTCTTCAATGCCGATATCGAGTCCCAATACTTCTTGTTGGAGGTGCCTTTGCTCAAAGACAATATGATTATGTAGCACCTCGCATTTATAATATTATAAATGGAAAATTAAAAATTGACAAATTAAATCAGTATTATCTGCTATCACTAAGCTATGAAGAAGCTGAAAATTTACTTTAACTGCATAGTAACATCATCCTACCTACACGCATTAAAATATAATATATACTTATTATTTTACTATAAATGCAACACAGGCGTGCACGCACACGACTACTATTCACACAAAACATTTCAATCCTTGATTTTTGTTTACTATTTTTTATAGAATAGGGTGACAAACGAGCACACAGTCCACCTGATGGTAAGTGGATGCCGTGGCCCATAGACATCTACATCTATCCGAATCAAAATGCAGAAGCGTTGTCACCCGTGAGGACTAAGATAGGTTGCGTCGTTTCCAGTAAAAAGGGTCTCCGGTTCTCTACACTCACCATACGAAACACAGCAGCATTAAGCTACTATTTGACGCTGGTATTCTGTGAGAGCTTGGTCCTTCCCCGGTCGAGCCGACACATTCGTGCTACAACTATAGTACTGCAGCATGGCTCTACCACGTATAAAACTGATATTGATAAGTCATAAGACTGACTTACTGCAAGATAATTGTTATTGCTTGTTTTTTAATAATTATTATGTTTAAACAACTAGTTTAGAAGCCAGGGTACCATTTATTTGTCAAAAGATTTGTGGCAAATAAACAATTTATCTATTTCTTTATTTTTATAGATTAGTCCATATTGAAATACAATCAATATACTAAAAGGGAGTCTACTTATATTTCTATTGTTACCCATCAATTCATGACATTGTCTATATCCAGCCGTTTGAAAACTTAACGAATTGTGAGGCACTGTCCTATTGCCATCGCTCGCGCGATCTTGCGTTGCGTAAGATGAAAATGATCGTGCGACCGTCCGTTTAAACATATTCATATCTGCGGAATGTCCTATTGAACGTCGTGCGATCGTGCGATGCGGCTGAAGAAATCGCGCGTGCGCATTCATCGGACGATGAAATCGCATCGTATCATTGACATCGACAGTGTAGCAGCAGTGTAAGAATATACCCCATAATGTTTCGTAGGTGTCATAAATGACAGAGGAAAACAAATCCGGATTTGGGCACCAGCGTCTTTGTAATAACGACTAAAAAAACTGCGATTACCAACCCACTTTACATGACGTGGCAAATATGACAAATATCCAATGAGACAATCTATGGGGGCAGGCCTATGTTCAGCAGTGGATTTTCGATAAGCTGTAACGATAACCTTAAATATGTATGGTTAACGTAGTTACGCAATAAAGTGTGACCTCTACATATATTTACAAATCCCTCTTCACGTGTTTGGAAATAAGTTTTAAATAGGAATGTTTGTAATCTTAATGCGTAATCTATAAACGATGATGATTATGGTGATTTGTATATCGGCTGTGGCGTAATGAATGGATAATTGGCACCTGCGGGTGAAGGACGTTGTGGCAGTTCAGAGTGCGGAAATACAGTGAGACATTGCGTCTCATTGAAACAGGCATGTTTATTTCTAAATTTGGCACTCGGGTGACCATATTTTTTACATCACATTAGATTAAACTTAGGAAAAAAATAAACAAAATATGAAATTTGAGTTAGTAATTGTTTAAAAAAAACTATGCATGTGCCCCAAAAATATAGTTTACATTCGATAGCGATTCTATCCAGAAATACTATCCAAAAAACAGATTGAAAAAATTGCTTCATTTGGAGTCTTGCCAATTTTTTTAATCGTTGAAAATGTCGAATTATCTCGAAAACCAAGGAACTTTTACAAAACAAAACATATTTTTCTGATCCGCCAAAACGTCTACTACACGCGGGTTCCATATTATCCATTCATTACGCCACATTCTGTATAATTGAAAAGTGTAATTATTAAAGTTTTTGCAGTGTCTTTCACCGATACCGGGTAGGTACATATGTTTCATTTTAATGTCTACAAGTGCGTCTTCATTAATTATTTTTATTTATAGGTAGTAGCTTGTCAGGGTTGATGAAATTAATTATAAAATATAATAAACTAACCTCACTTAGGAACCTTGCGATGAAATAAGCAGATACGCCGTACATTCCGACTTCTCTTTTAAATAGAGACAATTCATTTTCAAACGCAAACAACGCAGAGTAGGACAAACTGAACGACACCTCACTGCAAATCACCCACAAGAGACCGCGCAAATTCTGTACTCCTCGCTGAGTTGTTCCGGTACTGCCTGCAAAGCAAGTACCTATCACTACTGCACCGATTATCTGAAAAGATCCATCGAATTAAGTTTTTCTATTTTATAAAACAGAAGTGACTAGTGCTAGATAACACAAGAAAGAGGTTCTCTTCTTCTTTTATCTATATGACAAACGTACTTACAGCCTAATAGTAAGTGTTTACTATATGTTTTGTCTTCTCTGAGAGCTGAAAGTAGTTGCAAATGCATGTAACTAGCTCTCTATACCCTGTACTGCTACTTCGCAACAGAAGCAGGTAAGAGGTTAGTGTCTACTTACACGGGCTCCTAGGGTAAAAAGGAGTACTATCACCTAGGACCTAGTGCAATAGTGATGTGGCGGAAAATTCTATTAGAATTATTATTAATTTTGAAAGTCTCCGGTCCTCTACTCTCACACCATGTGAAACACAACAACGCGCTGGTATTCTGTGAGAGCGCGGTCTGTATCCGGTCGAGCCGACCCACATAAACACATATTAAATACAAGATCATCATTATCATTAATCATTACAGCCATTCACATGTTCACTACTGAACATAGGCCTCCCCCAAGGAATGCCACAAAGCACGATCCTGAGCCACCTGCATCCATCGACTTCCTGTATATCCTACCAGGTCGTCACTCCATCTAGTGGGGGGTCGCCCTTCACTAAGCCTGCCGGTACGAGGCTGCTACTCGAGAACCTTTTTTCCCCATCAGTTGTCGGTTCTACGAGCTATACGGCGGGCCTATTGCCACTTCAGCACACTAATCCAAAAAAATAAAATTAATAAATATGTTAGGAAAGTGCAAAAGTTAATTAAAACTAAAATTAATATAAAAAATTATGTAAATATATGTAAGGAAAAGCATGAATTAATTAATAAACTTAAATTATATTCAATTGAGGTGGAAAATATGAAAAACTGTTATGAGACTGAAATAGAGTGTCTCAATTCAGAAGTTTTGTCGCTTAAAAACTCCTTACAAATTATCTCAAATAAATATGCATCGGCTCAGGTTGAGATAAAAGAACACATATTGGCCATGAATGATCTGGTAAAGTCATGTAAATACAATGAGGTTGATGAATGAGCGCTCCAGACCATTTTCATCGGGGACAATATGTGTAAATAGTAGTGACTCCTTGTTGTCACCCACACTCTATGACAGTGCAATAACAAAGAATAAAAACTTAAAAAGTAATTTAAATATTAAAAAACAAGAAGTTAAATAACCATTTAAAAGGACAGGTAATTAGTAATTATTGTATGCCTGGAGCATCCTTTAGTCATATAATGAATAAAGTTTTAACTTGTGAGTTTTGTCCTAATAGCACATTAATAATACTTGTTGGGAGAAGAGGCAATGTAAACAAAAATCAATTATTAAAATATATTGATTACCTCAATACTTTAAATGTACATAAAATTATCTTGTTTACATTGTCTTACATACAGGGTTGGCCACAGGAGAATAAAATAAGATATGACTTAAATTTATTAATGAATAATTTGTCATGTAACAATAATTTAAATTTGACATTTAATTGTAATAATTATACTAATAGCATTAATTTAATAGACATTAATAATTTAATTAAGAAATTTTTGACTACAGATAGGTATTATCTATCCAAATATAATTTAAGACAGATAGCAAATGTGCTATCATATTATTTACATATTAAGCTCAGCCAAGGACTTGGCTATCAAGACATCTGCTCCTATTGAGCAGCATAATGATGTGACATGCAATTTGGAATCCGTTCCAAGTAATTTAAATTAGAAAATGAGACAATAGAGGTAATCCTTAGCACTTATAATAATTTAAATAATTTAGAATGTAGCTTACAAATCCTTAATAGTTGCAATTGTATAACTCCACAAAATGATAATTTGTTTACACCTGGTGCATCAGAATATACAAGGAATGATAGGTAAAGAGCTAGAAATTGAATTGTTCTTAAATAGCAACAATATTCATATTTTATGTATTACTGAACATTGGTTAAAAACTCATAATTTAATGTTTAACTTCAGTAATCACCAGGTGGTCAGTTCTTTCAATAGAGAAACGGTTTTAAGAGGTGGCTTCTTAATTTTAGTTAGTAAATTATTATCATGTAAAGAACGCAAAGATATTTTGACCCTCTCTGTTGAGGGAACTGTAGAAATAGCATGTGTTGTGTTTTAGCACCTCATTGTTGTGAGCGTTTACAGACCCCCATGTTCTTTATATGATACTTTTTAAAAAATTTTGCTAAGCTTAATAAACAGAATAAATCTGTTGTAATATGTGGAGACTTTAATATCAATCTCCTAGAAGCTTCCTCCACCAATATATTAAGAATATATAAATTAAGATCATTGTTTAAATCTAATGGTCTTTTTAATTTATTTTTGGAGCCAACGCGTATTTCTGAATCTAGTGCAACATGTATAGATAACATTTTTACAAATGTTAAGCCGTTCAATAAATGTATTATTCAAAAATTGAGCTCTGATCACTGTGGACAATTAGTTTCGTTACCTTATGTTCACAAAAAGCAAGTAAATAAAAAAGTAGTGTTTGTTCCAGTAAATGCACGTCGCTTGGAGAAGTTTAGAAGTAATATAGTAAAAAAACTTCCATCACTTTCGTACCAAAATAATCCAGATTTTTTGTATGGAACATTATTTAACCTTATTTGCAATAAATTTAATGATACTTTTACTTCTAAAACATTCTCCTTGAACAATCGCAAGGCATTTAATGAGTGGGCGACAGTAGGAGTCCATAAGAGTAGACAAAGGTTATATGAACTTTACAATGAAAGGTCATATAATCCTAGCGTCGAATTTAGGGAATATGTAAAAAAATATTCCAAAATATTTAAAAGAGTGTGCTCCATAGCCAAGTCATTGTATTTGAGCAACAAAATAAAGACGGCTTCTAATAAAATTAAAATGACATGGAGTATAATTAATAGTGAAATTGGGAAGGTTAGCTCTCGCAATTCGAACTATCAGTTAAGTTTTAACAATAAGTTTATTGAATCAGATCAGTACGTTGCAATGGTTTTCTAGAAATATTTTACTGATATTCCTATCTTAAACACTAAGTCACTGAATTCTTCTCCTGCCGTCGCCGAATCATTACTAAAACAAAATGTAAATGCGTGTACAAAGAATTTTACATTTCATAAAGTGTCATCAAAAGATATTCTAAAATGTATTGATATTAAGAAAACCGCCGATCTGTGGGGGATTTCCGTTAAAGTTATTGCGTCTATAATAGATGCAATCGCACCTCAACTATCTATTATTTTTAATACTAGTATCAAATCTAGTGTGTTTCCTAATTTAATGAACTATGCTTCGTAAAGTAATACCTTTATTTAAATCTGGCAGACTTGGACCCCGCTAATTTTATACCTAATTCTATACTGCCAACACTTAGTAAAATTTTTGAAAAAATTATTCTTGATCAAATGTTAAATTTTTTTAATGTAAATAATTTACTTCATAAAAATCAATTCGGTTTCACAAGGGATCGCTCAACAACTGATGCTGGTGTTGAGCTTATTAAATATATCTTTAATGCATGGGAGAATTCACAGGATGCTTTGGGTATATTCTGTGACCTATCCAAGACCTTCGATTGTGTTCACCATGAAACATTAATCAGGAAACTTCAACACTACGGTGTAAGAAGTGATGCCCTTAAATTAATTATTTCATATTTAAGTGACAGAACGCAAAAAATTGTAATTAATAGTATGAGTTCTTCAGGGTCGCCCTGAGGCACGCCCATTTGTACAAAATGGGCGTGCCTCAGGGCTCAATTCTCGGCCCTTTTCTGTTTCTTGTATATATTAATGACTTACCTTACATAGTAGGGGATAACCATGATATAGTATTATTTGCTGATGATACTTCATTAATTTTCAAATTAAAACGACAGTTATTAAATTACGACGAAGTAAATAATGCTATAGCTAAGGTAATCAATTGGTTTAATGTTAATAATTTGCATTTAAATGGAACTAAAACTAAATGTATGAAATTCGTAACTCCTAATGTCAAACATGTTAATACGAATGTAATTTTAAATGGGGAAGAACTGAGTCTTGTTGATACCACAATTTTTCTTGGAATCACACTAGACGCAAAGCTTCAATGGCTCCCCCATATATCAAAACTAGCTAGCAGAATTAGTTCTGCAGCATATGCTGTAAAAAAAGATTAGAACTCTTACCAGTGTGGAAACAGTGAGAATAGTTTACTTTAGTTATTTCCATAGCATTATGTCGTATGGTATTTTGCTATGGGAACACGCGACTGACACTGAAATTATATTTATTTTACAGAAGAGAGCCATTAGAGCAATATATAATTTAAAACCAAAAGAGTCACTGAGACAAAAATTTAAGAAAATTAATATATTAACTCTGGCCTCTCAATATATTTATTAAAATGTAATAACATTAAAATCATAACTTGTAAAAAAACCAAGTCTCGCAACTCAGTTCTTTTACCGTAAAAAGTTGTGAGATCCATGTAATCCACCAAGTCAGTTGATTTATTCAGTTCCTACTTAAGGGTCCTTCTGTTTTAAGTTATTATATAATTAGCTAACCTAACAACATTTTATAGTGACCATATCAATGTTAAAAGTCTTTTATATTTTAAATATATAGATTGACTTGGCCATCGCATGAAACCACAATGTATCTCACAAGTAATACGTATTATATTAAATTACATTGCTTAATGCGATTGCCAAGTCAATCTATATATTTAAAACATAAAAGACTATTAAAATTGATATGGTCACTATAAAATGTTGTTAGGTTAGCTAATTACGTAATAACTTAAAACAGAAGGACCTTAAGTAGGAACTGAATAAATCAACTGACTTGGTATTACATGGTAGGTTTTTTGTTTTTCTCACTTCTTTTTGTATATAAGATAGTCCTAATTTTTTACCTTTCCGGTACCGTCTACTTCTTGAGTACCAACAACGTGCCTATGTACACCTGTAATACATATACAAGTACACAGATTCATTCACTGGAAATGTAACTTTGTAATTCTATATATTTATATGGGATTACAAAGTTATTTATGCAGTTAGTGTATCTAAAAACCTGGACAGAAATTAACAAATGTTTTAGTTTTTCCTTGATTTATATACTAAACACTAATTATATTCTAAATTTGAAGCTTCCAAGTCTGCTAGAAGTGCCTTAGAGTTTTGATGATCGGTCAGTCAGTGAGTGACAAAATTAAGAAATTTTGACTGGTTACAATTCTCAAACTACTGGATTAAATTTAATGAAATTTGAAATATACCATGTTTATACAATGCTTACTCGGTTACTGAAAATTCAGGCTTCTAGTGTTATTGACCATGAAGTTATAAGGGGTCGAAAATGGCCTGAATTGCTTCGAGAAAAGATGGTACGGCCGTGCCGCTTTTTTTGCTCGACTTGGCGGGGCACTGCCGTGCCCCCAGATGTACGTACACAAGAATAAACGTAGTTTTGCAAAAATAAGTGATATTCATTCTGTAAATACTAGGAACAGACACAAGCTAGTAGTACCAGTTACTCGACTCCACCGAGTCAGTAATTCATTCTTGGGGCGATGTATACCCTTTTACAACAAAATCCCAGAAAATATACAAAATTTGTCATACGCAAAGTTCAAAAATTTTATTAAACTAAGTTTGTATAAAAAGGGTTATTATAATATTAAGGAATTTATGGATGATAATAACCCCTGGGAAGGGTGATCGCTACCAAGCTATTTCTAATTTGTGTTGTGTTGTTAATTGTAAACATGATTGTAAGCTATTATTTGAAAAAAAAAATAGTCCCGCTGGGTTTCTTGCTGGTTCTTCCCAGGACAGAGGTTTTTTTGCGAACCGGTGGTAAATGAAAAAATTGACTTTCAATAAGTATTGCTTATAATCTACATTGAATAAAAAAGTTTCTGTTTCTGTTACTATTACGGTCACTCTGGTTCTACTGCGGATATCCTCATTTCTAAGTTTATCACACAGAGAAACCCCGAGCATAGCCCTTCCAATAGCTCGCTGAACGACCTTGAGCGTCCTCATACGGCCAGCAGTGAAGGACCACGCCTCAGATCCATAAGTCATCACCACAATATACTCAATACAAGATACTCGCTTAAAAGATAGAATTTTTTTTAAATATAGAAACTAGGCGTACGAGGGACAAAAAACGTACCGTTGAAAGAAGTAATGACATTACAAGAAATGTTGTGTTTCTTCTTAGACATATCCAAAACCTCCACAGCAGTATTTGAACTTGTCTCGCCCAGCCTCTTTTACATCTACAAGAAAACATGTTATTACTGTCACTATAATGTTCTACACAATGAATTTAAGAAATTTCAGATGTGGAATTCATAATCTGATAACCATTCACATATACACAGCAAAAATACACACACACAAATACAAACGGACACATACACGCACACACACACACACACACACACACACACACACACGCGCGCACACACGCGCACGCACACGCACACGCACACGCACACGCGCGCGCACACGCACCACACACACACACACACACACACACACACCGAGTGTACACATGCACACACACTGTCGTAACAATGTATCTGTATAAAACAAAAAAAAATGTTTCTACCTGTGTCCGATATAGATTTTGAAACCATTTAACCGATTTTGATGAAATTTTTTGTGTGTTTGAATGTGTCCCTAGACGGTTTATATTCACATTTGGACCCGGTAGTTGGCACTGTTATCGAGATCCAGAAATCAACCGTGCGAAATCGGGGCGAATCGCTAGTTTATCCATACCAATATTATAAATGCGAAAGTGTGTTTGTTTGTTTGTTTGTCCTTCTTTCACGTCGCAATAGAGCGTCGGCATGGCATGATTTTGTATGGGGATAGTTCGGTGGCTGTAGAGTGACATAGGTTACTTTTTTCCGCGGAAAAACATCTCATTCCCGTGGGAAAATCGAATATGTTGCAAAATAAAATTCAGCTAGGTGGCACCACCGTGATTCTACAGGACGGACGACGGTACGATGGACGAACATAGAAGATCAGAATATCTTGATTATTATGTCTTTTTACCAAAATTAAGATAAAAATGTAAGGATCTATATTTTTCCACGCAGGACAGGGAAGAGAGCGATAAAAAAACATAAAATTCACCAGCTGATTTTGTTCAAACGTTTTGGACCTCGCAGACGATATTAAGTAATCCGTTGATTCTCTGCCTACCCCGCAAGGGTTACAGGGGTGATTATAAGTATGCATCAGAAATACTATCACCACCTGTTACGCTTTCACCCTTAATTATTACTTAACTGTGGTAGAAACAGTTCGTAGTAAGCCTTATTAATAAGCCTTAGTAATATTTATTGAACGGAAATTAATACAGTTGTTATACGTGGTTATGAATGAATCGGTAATACAATAAGAAAAATTGTGCAAAATTATAAGAAAAATATTTTTTGAGAGTTCTTATTAACTAACGTAGACATAGTTTAAATTGATTCCGATAGATGTCGTTACTAGGTTTTTAAAACGCGGTAACGAATTGTTTCCTGACGTGTACTTAACTCCCGCCGTTGAGGCGCGTGTCAACTTATAGTGCATACGGTACCTATACGCTTAAATTGTTTCTATTTCGTAGCTTATTCGACTACCTGCTTTCGATTACGGTTGTTTGTTATTTGCTTTGTGATTTGGTTAAGGTTGAATGGATTTATATTGGCTTTCATTTTCGGATTTGTGTATTTTCTTGGATCGGTTTTGTTGATTTGGTTGGTATTCCTTTATACATATTTAGACTCTAGCTTTGATTTTGTTTATTTAGAATCGTGATTGTATTTCTACCTTTTCTATTTTCTTATCTTATTTCTATCGTTGGTTATGTTTATATTGACTACTGCTTTCGATTTCGGTTTTCTGCGATTGGTTTTGTGATTTGGTTTAAGTTGATTCGATTTTTTTTGGCTATCGTTTTCGGATTCATGTTGTGTCTTGAATTGGTTTTGTTGTTTTGATTTTAAAAAATATTTAAAATGAATATTATTCCTTTTAGATATTTTGGATTTAATTTTAAGAACAATTTTTAAAAGGAAATTTAATTCCTTTTAGGTATTTTAACGTTTTTTTTATAAATAGGTTTTTTGTTACTTCACAATGCCTCGCAAACATAAGTCCAGCCTTTCAAGAGTATCTTCTCAAAGACAAGCGAAAAGATTAGCTCGATCGCTCGAACTGAGAAGGCAAGAATAAGCAGAGCGTCAGGCTGCTTTTAGAGCATCTGAGACACCTTCTCAACATCAGCAAAGGCGTCTTGACCAAACAGAGCGTCAGGCTGCTTTAAGAGCTTCCGAAACACCTCAAAGTCAGGAAAGGCGCCTTGAACAGGCAGAGCGTCAAGCTACTTTAAGAGCTTTTGAAACACCTTCTCAAATTCAGCGAAGGCGTCTTGAACAGGCAGAGCGTCAAGCTACTTTAAGAGCTACTGAAACTCCTGCTCAAAGTCAGCAAAGGAGTCTTGAACAGGCAGAGCGTCAATCTACTTTAAGAGCTACTGAAACACTTGCTCAAAGTCAGCAAAGGCTATCCGAACAAGCGGAATGTCAGGCTGCCTTAAGAGCCGCTAATGATGATGAAGAGATGCTAATGAGTCACGGCGCTTTTTAAACAGGATCCGGAAATAAAACTCATGCTTTCAAATGACGTCCTTCGGAGTTGACCGGGAAATAATAATGCCGGGATTTTCGCCTACATTTACGGTGCAAGGGCAAATTTATCATAGAATAGGTTCACTTTTTTCCAGCTGAAAACGAACAGCATAAATTTTTACAAGTATATTTTATGGGTGACGAAGAAATTGAGGTAGACACAGTGTTCAAAATTCAAAGATTCTTGTATGAACGTAACATTTTAATCTAAACATTTAAAACTGCTTTAGTAAACCTACCTGAAGAGGATTATAAAGTCGTCATTCACGCAGATCGGACCCCTCGAGGAGAGCATGAAAGGCGCTACAACGCACCTTTGATAAACGAAATAGCAGCCGTAATTAGTGGTGATCAATTTTCTTCACGAGACATTGTCTTGCGAGCACGTGATGATACGTTTCAACGGGTAGCCAATACACACAAGTTTTATGACTCTCTGCAATACCCATTGATTTATTGCAAAAGACAAGAGGGTTATCATTTTCAAATTCCACTCATTAACCCGGTCACAAAGGAGCCTACTCCGAACAAAAAAGTATCATGTATGGATTTTTATGCGTATCATATGATGTTGCGAGAAAATGATTTTAAACTCTTAGCCCGGTGTAGACAATTATTTCATCAATTTTTGGTAGACATGTATGTGAAGGTAGAAAATAAATCAAAAAAAGCTGCGCGTTGAGAATTATATACATTTACAAGGTGCAGTTTCTAGCGACGCCAATGTAAGCCCCAGAGATTTAGGTGAAATGGTAATTCTGCCCTCATCATTTGTTAACAGTCCCCGCTACCTACATGAGTACACACAAGACGCATTCGCCTATGTACGAACTTACGGAAGACCTGATCTTTTTGTTACTTTTACTTGCAATCCCACATGGAAAGAAATAACCGAGGAGCTAATGCCGGACCAAAAAAGTACTGACAGACACGATTTAGTTGCTAGAGTATTTAGATTAAAAAATTAATGTATGTAAGTAACAAAGGGAAAATTTTCGGAGAGGTGCAGTGCTTTATGTATTCAATTGAATGGCAAAAAAAGAGGATTACCGCATGCCTACATTCTAATATGGCCCGAGCACGATAAAGAATTGTATGATACCATCATCCAAAATATGATTCACGGTCCATGTGGAGCACGAAATTCAATATCGCCATGTATGAAAGAAGGAAAATGTACAAAGAAATTCCCTAAACAGCTATTAAAAGAAACAGTGCACAATGACAATGGCTACCCTTTATACAGACGTAGAGCTCCCGAAGATGGTGGCAGGAAAGTTACAATCAAATCTCGCTCTGGAGCGTTCGAAACCTTAGATAACAGCTGGATTGTCCCGTATTCGCCCATTCTATGTAAAATGTTTAATACCCACATTAATGTAGAAGCATGTAGCTCTGTCCGCGCAATCAAGTATATCTGTAAGTACATAAATAAAGGAAGCGACCAAGCAATATTTAATCTTAGGAGTGAAGGTGATGCAAATCCCGTTAATGAAGTACAGACCTTTCAAGCAGGGCGTTATGTCAGCAGTAACGAGGCAGTGTGGCGTCTCCTTGGCTTCCCTTTACACGAAAGGCACCCAACAGTTACTCACCTTGCTGTGCACTTAGAAAATGGAGAGCGTGTATATTTCACCGAAAGAAATTTCCAAGAAAGAATTGCATCACCACCAAAAACTACACTAACAGCCTTCTTTCAACTTTATCAAACCGACCCCTTTGCAAAAACGTTGTTATATTCTGAAGTCCCCCGCTATTATACTTGGAACACATCTAGGAAGGAGTGGAAACGCCGTATTCAAGGCGCGCCTGCTGCAAATTGGCCCGGTGTAAAGTCATCAGATGCCCTTGGTCGTATGTATACCGTCCATGTAACGTGGTGAAGCAGCAATCGTAAACAGAAACATTCAAAATGTTATTTTGAATGTTTCTGTTTACGATTGCTGCTGCACCATGTTCGGGGTCCTACAGGATATAAAGACCTTAAAACTGTCAACGGTCAGGAATGCGCAACTTATAGAGAAGCATGTGAAGCTCCGCATCTTTTAGAAAACGATAATCACTGGGATGAAACCATGGAGGAAGCTGTGCAGTGCCAGTCACCAGCCAAAATTAGGGATCTTTATGCAACTCTCATATTATCTTGCGGGCTATCTAATGCACATGAATTGTAGGACAGGTGTGTGTGGCGAAGGTTACAGCAGACACACGCGAACATAACATACAATGAACACATTTATAATGAAGCACTTGGAAAAATTGAAGATAAAGTAATGGCAATGGTAGGCACAAAATTAAGCGATTTTGGAATGATAAGCCCTCAGCGAACAACCGAAAATGAACTAAGTGATGAAATTATACGTGAAACAAACTACAATATACCAACTTTGCAGCAGCAAGTAGCAGAATTTGTCCCCGGTTGCTTCCCGAACAAAAACGAATTTTTGACTAAGTATTAGGACAAATTGAATCTGGAAATGGTACACTTTTCTTCTGGAGGAACTGGGAAGACATTTTTATTAAATTTATTATTAGCGCAAGTACGGAAAGATAAAAAAAAACATTGCTGTGGCCGTAGCTTCCTCCGGTATAGCCGCCACGCTGCTAAACGGGGGCCGCACTGCACATTCTGTTTTAAAACTCCCTCTAAATCTAGCCCAGGAAGAATCGCCGATCTGCAACTTTAGCAAAAATAGTGCACGAGGTATAATGCTACGGCAATGAAAACTTTTAGTGTGGGGCGAAAGTACAAAGTCGTATAAAAAAGCTGTAGAAGCACTAAATTGAACGTTCCAGGATTTGCGCAGCAATACCGATGTAATGGGAGGATTTGTGGTTTTACCAGTGACTTTCGCCAAACTTTACCTGTCATTCAAAAGGGCACACCTGCAGATTAAATTAAAGCATGCCTCAAGTCGTATATTTTATGTAGCAAGGTGACAAAATTCAGTTTAACTACGAATATGAGAGTGCATTTGTATAATGATATCAATGCTGGAAACTATGCTGACACACTATTAAAAATCGGCGATGGGCGGTTGGAAACGGATGCTGAGGGCTGCGTTAAATTGACGAGAGATTTTTGTAATTTAGTACAGAGTCATTCCGAATTAATTGCGAGCGTTTATTCAGATTTAACGAACAACATGCATGAAGACAAATGGTTATGTGAAAGGGAGATTCTTGCACCAAAAAATGAGAGCGTTAACAAAATAAATTCAGATATCTTAAGCGAAGTAGCAGGAGAAATAACAGAGTATTTGTCAGTAGACACAGTTATGGACACAGAACAGAGCACTTCATATCCCGCAGAGTTTCTAAATTCTCTAGAGTTGTCAGGTGTGACCTCACATAAGCTTCAATTAAAATTAGGCGTACCAGTCATGCTAATGCGAAATTTAGATGCTCCTCGGTTATGTAACGGGACAAGGCTGCGTGTGAGACATCTTGGACGGAATATAATCGGTACTACAATTTTGACAGGCGTAGGAAAAGGAGAAAATGTTATTATACCACGGATCCCTATAATTCCCACAGATCTTCCTTTTCAATTCAAAAGGTTGCAGTTCCCTATTAAGCTCAGTTTTGCAATGACAATTAATAAAGCGCAAGGGCAAACGTTACAGGTAGTGGGGGTCAACTTAGAAAAACCGTGCTTCTCTCATGGTGAGCTGTATGTAGTATGTTCGCGTGTGTCAATTGCCCAGAATCTCCACATTCTTTCCCCGAATGGAAAAACATATAACATTGTGTACAGTAGCGTCTTAAAATAGTGTTCAGTTAGTTTTTTTCCAAAATTCCCCCAATCAATTAATCAGAATTCCCACAGATCTTCCCTTTCAATTCAAAATTTCCTATTTAGCTCAGTTTCTTTTCAATTCCAAATGCTGCACCTCTGACGGACCTATTAAGCTCAGTTTCCTTACAACTCAAAAGGCTGCATCTCTGACGGATCTTTTATTTGGCTCTTGTTAGAGTAAAAAGTAAACTCCGGTAGCTAGTGCTTTTTTTTTCTCAACGAAACGAAATTAAAAAGTGATATTTTGCTGCTTATTTCTTATTTTTTAGTCGACTGCATAAAATGAGGAGGCTGTGTGTGAAACAATTCGAGTGTATGTTTCTTTTATTTTAGTCTTTTGTATGTATGTTACGCGATATTTTCGCCAGCTGAGAACTGATTTTGTTGTTTTTTTTTTTAAATTATATAGGTTATAGAACGTGTGAGTGAATATTCTCTACTCACACGAGTAAAGGTAACATATAACAAAAGAAAAAGCCGACTTTAAAGAACTATAAAGAATAAATTCACAATCTGAATTTGAGGCTTTAATTCTTCTATTCAATATATCTCAGCAACGGCTTCAGAATTAAAACAAGTAGTATAATTAAAAATTTTGTACAACCGACTTCAATATATATTAAATGAGAACATCATCAATATAGTCGAAGTCAATTGAATACGCATTATTAAGGATAACTCAAAAACTACTGGTCGGATCTTGTGATCAAATTCATATGGGAACCACATGAGAAGCATCAGCTTACAAAAAAAAAAAATCATCAAAATTGTTTTACCTAGAAAAAGGTTCTGAAGTAACACACATGAAAAAAATACAGTCGAATTGAGTACTTCTCCTTTTTTGAAGTCGGTTAAAAAAACCAAATCCTCGACAAATATTTTTTTATAGAAGAGGGGGCAAACGAGCATGCGGCTAACCTGATGTTAAGTGCCTACCGCCGCCTATGATCAACAGCAACACCACGGGAATTGCAGGTGCGTTGCCGGCCCTTTAGAAAGGAGTAAGCTCTTTTCTTGAAGGTCCCCAGATCGTATCGGTCCAGAAAAATCGCAGGTGGTATACTATTCCATAGAGAGGTCGAACGCGGATGAAAAATCCTTGTGAAACGTACAGTGGTGGACCGCCAAGCATCCAGATGGTGTGGATGGTACTGGGATGTTTGCCGCGTAGTGCGTTCACGAAATTTGGCGGCTGGGATTAATCCGAACAATTCCTCAGAGCACTCCCCATGGTATATGCGAAAGAAAATGCAAAGAGATGCAACATCTCTTCGCAGCGCCAGTGAATCGAGCCGATCGGAAAGCACTCGGTCGTCGACGATTCGAGCCGCTCTACGCTGGATGCGGTCAAGTGGAAGGAGCTGGTACTGGAGGCCCCAGCCCAGAGATGGGAACAGTATTTAATTTGCGGCCGAACCTGCGCCTTGTGAAGTTGCAGGCGGTGTGCCGGTATGAAATACTGTCCCGCTCTGCTGAGCACGCCAAGCTTTTTAGAGGCCAATTTGGCCTTCTCTTCCAAGTGACCACGAAACTGCACGTCACTCGATATGTCAACGCCGAGGATACCGATACTGGCTGAAGGAACAAGGGAAGTGCCTTGAAACTGGGGAATTACGACAAAGGGGTTCTTTTTAGCGGTTAACGCGCAAACTTGTGTCTCACGCTCAGGAGTGGAGTTAGTGGTGGATGCTCAGCGAGGGATTCTCCAGGGGTGCTGGTACCCTCCTGGGGTAGATCTTCACTTAATTCCGCTACCATGTTAAGGGGGGGGGGGATTTGAGCCTCCGCCCACCTGCACTCACCAGACGAAACGCGGAAGCGGAGCTTCCTCTTCACGCCGGTATTCTGTGAGATCGTGGTACTACCTCGGTTTGAGCCGGCCCATACGTGCAACAGCAAAGCTGCCGCGTGGCTCTACCACTGTTAAAATATGAAATTGTGTATAGATCTTCCTAATGAATAATTTGTTTATTTCCTAAAATATGGTACAAAAGGAATTATAAGCTTTCGGACATACAGGCGTTGAATACGTTACACGAAAAGGCTCATGCCGTGCAATTTTTTGAACAAAATAAAATTTGAAATAATCGAACTATCGCCTTATCGAACGTAGGATTTTGTCTCGTGAGATAGTATTAAAACGTTCGATATTTTATGTCACCAAGCATGTCCATTTAGATTATTCGGAATGTTAACAGCCCACACTAGCTAGACACTATAAAAAACAGTCAAGGAAGACTTACGCTACGTTTACAATTTTATAATAGTTGTGCAACATTGAGCATTTTACTATAATATAGAACTTATTTTACTTATACAATATATAATATATATTGTATTTTTTACCTAAGTATATAAAGCAAGGACCTCAACTATAACTATAATATTAATAGCCCAAAAACTTTTTTTTTCGAAATGTTGCGCAACATTATTAATGGACCGCGTCGCGATGAAACGTGACGCATTCTATGTGAATTTATAATTTACAAACGATGCGGCCAATTATAGTGATGTTACCAAGAGGAAACTTAGTTCAGACTGTATCGATAAAGTTGTTACGTTATTGGCAGTTGTGTAATAAATTTATAAGTTGATATCGTACCGCCTGGTGGTAGCGTAAGAGGATCCACCATCCCATTTCGTCCTGTGGTTGTCATAAGCGTCTATTGGAAAAGCCGGCAAGATTTTATGGATTTCGATATATGCATAGGTATTATAAAGTGTATAATAAAGGTTAAATCAATAAAAAATAGTGGCTATATAACCATTTATTTACGCCAGGCGTAAAATACTGAAATCATCGATGGGAAGCTGAAACGTCGGATACTATGATACCAAGCTCCCGTCAAGCGTGTAGATTAATGCAAATCCTCACCACTAAGGGTGAGCAGTGTATGATAAAGAAGGAGAACAATAAGGATATCAGGGAGTAATACAGGCTGTATTACACTCCCAGAAAATTAAAATAAAAAACTTAGGTAAGAAATCCCAGACAAGAGTCTGCCACGTTGCTTCGCGAGTTGATAGACTTCATTGTTGCCGTTCAAATTACAAGAAAAGATTTAATGATAGTAGCAGCGATTGAACTCTGTAAAAATTTAAGGCGATTACAGGGGCATTTCTAACTCACAGAAAAGAGTTAATCACGCTACTCCAATGCGTGTTTCACAATTTCAACACGGCAACGACGTAAGTATACTCACTATACTATATCATCCAGTCGTTATTATGAGATGCGACATAGGGAAATACAAACAGGTAATAGGCAGCAACATGTTCCTGATAACAGTTAATAATAAAGAAAACTACGGTTAAACCTAATGTGCCTACGACACATTTCAGGAGAGAAACTAATCCGATAATGAAATAAATGGATATTGTAATTTTTACGACAAGCCGGAACAGAAGTGCTATGTACATCCCTATCAATGGATCAACAAAAATGTTGTTTTATCAAAATCCGGTTCCGCGGCGGTAAAATTTCCTAGTCCATTACGAACTAAAACATGTGGGTTAAAACACAGTGGGCGTGTACATGTTAAGTTCAAAGTTCCACGGATAAAACTACTTACACTTGAAACTGTGATGTCGCGGCCGAAGAAGTCTCGCAACAAGTTTCGTTGCTCGCATTTAACCGGTTTCGGTAATTTTCCAAGATTCTATCAACATCGTTTTCGTTCGAAGTCGGGTTAGAGGATACGGCCTTGATGAAGAACTCGGCCGTGTTGTAGTTCTTGGGACAATGTAGATTGACGCTGAAAATGTACTAAATTAGTTACTTTTACATTATTTACTACAAAAATAAATACCGTTTATGTATATAAACACACTGCTCAACATTAAGGTGCTATAATAAACAGTATCGTACTTATATTTCAGTCAATTCTACTATATATTATAGAAAAATAATATAGTAAGAAATATATTATATTTTTATCCCTAATTCCACTGTCGCTTTTTTATGGAATAAGGGTGACAAACGAGCAAACAGTCCACCTGATAGTAAGTGGATGGTGTGGCCAATAGACATCTACATTTATCCTCGATTAAGAATTAAAACACAAATGCGCTGTCACCCCTGAGGATCAAGATGGAATGCGTCGTTTCCAGTAAAAAATGGTCTCCGGATCTCTACACTCAACATACGAAACACAGCAATACTAAAATGCTATTTTACGCTGGTATTCTGTGAGAACGTGGTCCTTCCCCGGTCGAGCCGACCCATTCGTGCTACAACCATAATATGGATGCAGCGTGGCTCTACCACCTAAAAAAGTTAATATAACGCTTTGTTATATGGAAATCTAGAACAAGTATTTTTTACGGAAAGATTTTTTTTCCATCATGAATCTAAAATTGAAAGAAGAAAGAACAAGAGAAAGTATTTATTTAATTAAAAAATATTTTTTAATTTATTTTAATATGAATCTAAATTGCTCATCATCATCATCATCATTACAGCCCTTCACAAGTCCACTGCTGAACATAGGCCTCCCCCAAGTAATGCCACAAAGCACGGTTCTGAGCCACCTGCATCCATCGACTTCCTGCATGTCTTACCAGGTCGTCACTCCATCTAGTGGGGGGTCGCCCTACACTACCCCTACCGGTACGAGGCTGTCACTCGAGAACCTTTCTTCCCCATCGGTTATCAGTTCTTCGAGCTACATGGCCGGGCCATTGCCACTTCAGCTTACTAATCCGTTGGGCTATGTCGGTCACTCTGATTTTACTGCTGAGCGACCTTGAGCGTCCTCCTACGGCCAGCGGTGAAGGACCACGTCTCAGATCCGTAAGTCATCACTGGCAACACGCACTGGTTATACACTTTAGTTTTCAGAGATTGAGGTATACCTGACGAGAAGATGTGTCGTAATTTCCCGAACGCTGCCCAGCCGAGTTGAATCCGTCGATTGACCTCTCGGTCGAAGTTGGACTTACCTAGTCGGACTATTTGTCCCAGGTAAACGTACTCGTCAACAACTTCGAGCATAGTGCTCCCAACAACTACCGGCATAGGTGTGACATGGACATTAAACATGATCTTTGTTTTGTCCATGTTCATCTTAAGACCTATCCGTTGGGAGCCACCATTGAGGTCATTGACCATAGTGCTAAGGTCCTCCAGCGATTCTGCCATAAGGACTATATCGTCGGCAAATCGAAGGTGAGTGATATACTCGCCATTGATGTTAATACCGTATCCTTTCCAGTCCAGTAGCTTGAAAACGTCTTCCAACGCAGCGGTGAAGAGTTTCGAGGATATAACATCACCCTGTCTTACACCTCTCTGCAATTGGATAGGTTTCGTACTCTGGTTCTGTACTCGGATAGCCATCGTAGCCCTACTGTACAAACACTTCAGCACTTCAATATACCGACAGTCAACTAGGCACCGCTGAAGAGACTGTAGCACCGCCCAAATTTCGACGAAATCAAAGGCTTTCTCATAGTCCACAAACGCCAGGCAAAGTGGCAGATTGTACTCTTTGGACTTCTGTACAATTTGCCGAAGGGTGTGTATGTGGTCTATGGTGCTAAAACCTTTTCGGAAACCGGCTTGTTCGGGAGGCTGGAAGTCGTCGAGTCTGCGTGCGAGACGATTCGTAATGACTCCCGAAAACGGCACGTAGACGCGGCTCAGAAGGGAAATCGGTCTGTAGTTCTTCAAGAGAGCGTTGTCGCCTTTCTTAAAGAACAAGACCACCGCACTTCTGCTCCACGCCTCCGGAGTAGTGCCACCATGGAGGACGAAATTGAAGAGCTTCTGAAGAACTTCAAGTACCGGTGTTCCACCCGCTTTCAGAAGCTCCGCTGTAATTCCATCCTCGCCCGGGGCCTTGCCGTTTTTAAGATGGTGGAGAGCCATTCTAATCTTGCTCAGACTGACGTCCGGGATATCATCGGAATAGTGTCGGATAAGACTTGCTCTTGGATCGTTACTCACACTTGCGTGTGGCTCCAACGATGATGTGTACAGCTGCCCATAGAACCTCTCAATCTCACTCAAAATGTCAGGTGTCCCGGAAACGATGTTGCCACACTCAGTCTTCAGCCTTGACAGTTGGCTCTTTCTGGCAGACAGATCTCTGGCAAAGACTTTGGAGCCCTGGTTCCGCTCGATCGCTTCTTTAATACAAGCAGTATTAAAGTTGCGTAAGTCTCGCCGCATGCATTTGGAGATCTGTCTGTTCAGTTGCCTGTATGCTGCTAAGTTGCTCAGACTCCTATAATTATTTTAAAAGTAAGGTAGAAGGTAAGGTGTATAGATTATTGTTGGCCAAAGCAAAGAGCAGTAACAAATATATATTTGGAAAATACACTCATATTTATTAATAATATATGTATACTTTTTTCTCCGCAATTTCTCAAAATTACTATATTTTAGCATCGTTTTTGAGAAAAATACTATATTTGTTCAAAAAAAAGGTGGCAACTTTACTCAATATAGGCTTCCCTCATTGATTGCCTAATAGGAGAGATTTTTGCCATAGTTGGCACTCTTGGCAGGCACGTTGGGAACAGCACTTTTTTATTTCTTAGTTATTATTATTATTAGAATGGCGCTGCTGCCAATCCCTGGTTCATTTCTTCCTGTCGCCTCCTAATACGCCAACAAGACGATAAAAAGCAGTGGATGTTCTTGCATCGGCCACTACATGTTCAATATATCACATCATGGTAAAACGTACAAATTAAGGTTAACGAAATCGGATTGCGACTTTAACAGAAAAAACCTAAACTTGTAACAATAATGTCCTTCAAATCGAATTTCTGTCACGGTATCCAGTGTCCAGTCTAGTTCAGTCAGAAAGAACGGCAATCAGACACGTCTGGGTGAAAGATCAGGCACAGGACCAAAGCTTTTCGTGCTTTTCAGGACACCGGGTTGAAAAGCCGCCAACTTTGTGACCCCGAGCAGCTACTAAGAATTCCCTGACAGGAAAACCAAATAAAACATTTTTATGTTGCTAATAACTACTTTTTTTGTTTTGGGGCCAATAATTGGGTATTAATTTATCATCGAAAATAAAGAATATCTTTGCATTTTTCATCTAAACATTTCAGAATTCCTTAACTATGATTGTTCTTATTCAGCTATTCTGTTATAATTCAGCTATGTTCTTCTGCTATGACCCATTTATGTAAAAAAATATGTACCTATATATGTATTAGGACATTAAAATCGTCGTGTAGATATCGCACATTATATCTAATCTAGCAATAACTGAGATAAATATCCAAAGCAATACCTATTCCTTGTGAATCATTATCTTAAAATTAACTAAGTTAAACAAAGTTCAGTCGCATATTTTACATGTTATTTACATTTACACCAGTGACAAAATAAAACAGAATCAATGTTGAAAAGTAGTTTAACCAGTTTTTTAAGCTGTGCACTCAGTTAACCTTTTATCTAGCGGCCACAGTGTTCATTTTAACCCAACGAATTCAAACTGCCTACACCTAAAATAATTTCCTAATGCGTTAACAATACCACAGAATAGAGCTATTAACACAAAAGACGTATGATATTAATAAGTATTAAATAACAAATTAAGTTTAATAAATTAAAAAAAATAGTTTAAATTGCAACACATTCCATATTATAGTTCACAAAACGAGAAGGTTCTTTAAATAACGCGTATGTTTTTTTTTAAATGTAAGTTTACCGATTTAGCGAAAATTTACCTTATAATGATTAAAATGATTATAAGGTAAGGTAAGGTAACAACACTTCGGGCATGGTCCTGTATGAATTTATAGAAAAAATCCCTGATTGTCGCCACACACGGTCAGTTCAACTGATCATTCCAACTGATCAGTTCAAACTGTTAAAAACTGTTGATATTTTTTTTAATATTGGGTTTTCGATATATCGATAAATAAGCTTATATATAAAACTCCGATATTAACATATTGATAACTATCGATATATCGAAAATTCAATATTTAAAAAAATATATAATTTTAGTTTGAACTGATCAGTTGGAAAGATCAGTTGAACTGACCGTGTATTTTTATGTAACTATTACAAGGAAATTTTTGTTGTTACTTGAATTTGTAGTATTCCTTAGACTACTTAGAGAGTAAAATAATTATTTAAAAAAGTAAAGCCGATGAACAAAAAAAAATTATAGCTTCTGGAACCCGGTCTTTAATTCTTCGGTACATTTTCAATACTCTAAGCATGCCGAATATCTTAGCACCGACTTCAGAAACTTTTATGTGGAAAATTAAGTATTTATTTTTATGTTTGAAGTCAGTTTAATTTTTTTGGTATAATAAATTATTTCATTATTTTTATATTAAAAACAAACTTTAATAATTATGGAAAAGGATCATAATTAGAACAATATTGTCCCTATAAAAATATGTCAGCTAGTTACATAACCTACCGATATTACTATTCACTTCAAGCTTTGGTTTGGTTTACAATAGTCGAAAATCGAATTCGAACTCACGATCCTTATCAATTTCTCTACTGTCACTTTAAAATCAGTAAACTACTACAGAAATAGTGTAACTTGACTTTACATATGCTATTTGATAGACCACCTTGTTGGTCTAGTGGTCATAAACGTGGCTAATGATCTTGAGGACCCGGGCTCGAATCACGGGTCGAGTTAAAATTTTACAGTTATTGGAATTTTCTGACAAGAAATTTCTAGTACCAGCCCGTAGTCAGGAAGCAGGCGGTGTTACACCCCGTGCCTGGGAAAGGACGTAAAACCGTTGGTCTTGCACCTGATCTCTCTTCGGTCGTGTCAGTTTACCATCCCATCGGAACATGAGAGTGAGGAACATAGAGACTACCCTTGTGCTTGCGCAAACACTAGGGCATTATAATCCAGTCCCGCACAGATAGTTAATCTCTTTGGAGACTGGCCAATGGCCACCGTGATCGAAATTCGGTCTGTAGGACATATATGTGTACTATTTGATACCGTAGATACTATTTGATACAGTGCATTATAACTGCAGCACGAATAACCGGTGAAAAGTCATGCTCGCATAAAAGACCAGCGTGAAAGCCTTTCGCTGTATGCGGAAAATAACAATATAGTAATACACAGTAGGTGTTTCGTATATTAAGGGACAACATCCGGCGACCCATTCCACTTACAAAGAGGTGGATTGTGTACTCCTTTGTCACCCTTTTTTGTATAAAAAATATATACAACACTTGATAGCACGATTGAATCATAATCGAGAATAATTGCGTATCTACGGCGTATATTATATTCACTTAACTCAACACTTAACATCAGGTGGACAGTTTTTGTTGCTCGTGAGTAATCTTGATTTCAATAAAAAAACAACTAATCTTCTATGTACTAAAAGTTGTCGCCATAAAAACCGTTTCGCAAATTAATGTCTCCTTTGCAGTCTATAAAAAATAATATTATAAATGCGTGTTAGTTTTTAAACATCCACATAATTGCTTATGCCTTGGTAATAACGTTGCGCAATTTGTTATTCGGCCACCATGCGTTTATAATTGCTAGTAAAACAAACCTTTCGAACAAAATCCGACAATCATCGTGTGTTCCATGAAATAGCAGCTTGCCCTCTGACATTAGAGATATCGAGTTGAATTCCTTGAAAAGGTCAGAGGAAGGCTGGTGTACAGAGCATATCACTATCTTGCCAGTCTTAGAAAGATTCTTCAGTACACCAACTACCAAAGATGCGTTATAGCTATCCAAACCAGACGTCGGTTCATCACATATAAGAATTTTTGGGATTGATAAAAGCTAAAAAACAAAAAAATATCTGAAATATAAAAATGTTTATACGTGGCAAAGCCAAACTGGTTGCAGCACGAATGGGTCGTCTGGACGGGGAAGGACCACGTTCTCACAGAATATTAGGCGCAAAATAGCAGCTTAATGTTTCTATGTTTCATGTAAAATATAAAACCCTTTTTACTGGATAGATGCATTTGATTCTTAACCGAGTAAAGATGTAGATGTCTTTAAGCCACAGTATCCATTTACCATCTAGTGGAATGTGTGCTCGTTACTAAACATTATTCTTTGTTTTGTCAATTCAAAATTTCACGTATAAAAAAATTTTTCACAAATACTACCTAATATTTAAAATGCAAATTTAGTTAGTTTATAATAAAACAGCAATAAGATTAAATCCGATTATAGTGACAAGTAAATACTTATAAACTCATTGACTTATATATTACTAGCGTAATAAACTACGGTACCAAAAGCAATCTAGTTTTAAAATTGCTTAACGATGGAATAAAAAAGCTCTGAACCGTACAAATGACGTAATAATAAGACATCAATGAGGTTTTAATGTCCGTGGGATAATAGTACAATGAACTTTTCAAATTGGTACAAGAATGAATAATATTATCATATCATAAATTACTTAGGCATAATATTTTTTCGGATAATTTAATTTCGAGTCGTTTAGAAAGAAGCTTCCGAATTGTATGTTCGTGCTACAAATTGTATGTTCGAGTTCATGTTTATACTCGTAAATTTGTGTTGTGTTGATAAAATATTGTATGATTTATTGTTAATGATTTATTGGTCATTTATTCATGATGACCATCAACGAAGATTTCTGATCATGATCGTCATGTATCTTCTTTTTTTTAGCTGACTTCATAAAAGGAAGAGTTACTCAATGCGCCTGATTTTTAAATAACGGTTTATAATAATGTGTTTCATCCTCGCAGGTTAGGATTATGGTGCCCGAGTGTATGCGTAAGCACAGGTGCACTGTGTATTCCCTCACTCTCAACGTCCGATGGTACGGCAATCCGACACGACCGGAGAAAGATCAGGCACAAGACTTATAAGAGTTTATACTTCTAAGACCTAAGCTTTACGAGTTTTCCAAGGTATGGGGGCAATACACCGCCGAATTCCTAACTTCAGATGCTACTGAGAATTTCTTGACAGAAAAACCCAATAACTGATTTGGTCCGAACTGGGATTCAAACTCGGGACAGCCCCGTCAAAGTGAAAAGGTTATGCTTTAGGAGTGGAAAATAGGAGATGAAGTTTTTAATTTTTCCTGCTGATTAAGGGTGACACGAGCATACAATCCACCTGATGGTAAGTGGATGTTGTGGCCCATAGACATCTACATTTAATCTCGATTAAGAATCAAAATGGAAATGCGTTGTCACCCGTGAGGACCAATATGGAATGTCTCGTTTCCAGTAAAAGGGTCTCCGGTTCTCTACACTCACCATACAACACAGAGCAGCACTAAGCTACTATTTACGCTGGTATTCTGTGAGAGCGTGGTCCTTCCCCAGTCGAGCCACCCATTCGTGCTACAACTATACTACTAACGTAACTGCAGCACGGCTCTACCACGTATAAAAATTATCCAGAGTCGGCCAGCAATTTGGAACACCAAATTATCAGACTATTCCGTAAAATTTTATTTATGATCGTAAATCGCAACGGTTCTACAAACGCAGGTTGCGTTTCCGAATGCTGCCCGCAATCCGGTTGACCGCATTCGCAACCGCAGTGAGCCGGACGGCATACGGCAGCTTGTTCTATCACCGGGAGGGCGAACGTCGGTCCTAAGGAGGTGTCGGATTTATCGTCCACAAGTCTCTCGTCAACAACGTTTCGTCAACAGATTCAGATTGAGAGTATGTCGACGAGGGTTGTGTACCTAATACTCAGAATCACCAAACGGTATCCGCTGAAGGTCATACAGGTTTACGCACCAACCTCGGCACATCACGATGAGGAGATGGAGAAAATGTATGAGGATATCTTAAGAGCCATGCATTCCTCCAAAACCCACTATACGGTGTTGATGGGAGTCTTCAACGTAAAACTAGGTACAAGAGAAAGCGGTGATCTGAAGTTAGTTAGTTGGAATAGGGCAACGGAACCATAGGGGCCAGCAGCTGGCCGACTTTATGAAGAAAGAGGGATTCTTTATGATGAACTCTTTCTTCCAGAAGCGGCCCCACAGGAAGTGGACCTGGTCGAGCCCCGACGGTTCGACAAAAAATGAGATTCACTTTATTATGACGACCAAATGCCAACTATTCAGTGATGTGAAAACTGGCAGCGATCGCCGAATGGTTAGAGGCACACTGAACTTAAACGGTAAGTTGGAGAGGTTTCATCTAATGAAGTCAACGCTCCGTCCCCCTCGTGCACTAATCCAGGGTCCCGAAACCTTTCAGCTCGAGTTACAAAACCGTTTTCAGTGCCTACAAGACGGCAATACAAGGGACGATATGAATGACAAGCTCGTGGAAACTGTCTATGCGGTCGGAGCTAAGTTCTGCAAGACCCACCGCAGAAGAACACAAAAACTCTCCGATCACATTCTTAATCTCATGGATGTTAAACGGGAGATGAAGCTGCAGTCGTCAGCAGATTTGACAACATACAGACAACTCGGCGGCGGTACTTACGCAACTTCAGTACAGCTCGTATTGAAGAAGCGATTGAACGGAAAAAGCAATAAGTTGACAAAGTTTTCAGTTTTTCATTTGTAAAAAATTACAGTCAACGAACATCGGATGATTACTTTTGCCCCACCCGTTATATGTATGATAGTATTATGTGTGTATGTCTGTATGTTTATATCTTTAGCACGCTGAGTAGCTTAAACGATTCGATGGATTTTAACTTGTAAGGTTTCGTAAGATTTGTATTACATAGGTGTGGAAGTCAACTTTTTACGTAGTCGGGTTTTTAATTACTGTTTTAACTAGGGGCTTGTATGCTTAATACTCACGGATGAGCCTAATGATAACAGCCGACGCTCTCCACCTGATAACGAGCGAATCAATGTTCTCTCATGCGTTTTCAATTTCAAATCACTGATTATTGTATTCAAAACAATTACATTTGCCGATTTTTTCAAACTGCCGAGCCTCATTTCTGCCTAAAAATAAAAAGTTAAATTGGGATTACCCAGGAATTATTAAAATCATCTTCTTCATCCGTAAAACTCCACTACTAGATATGTGGTAAGCCGCCGTCGCCCATAGACTTCAACATCTACCCCAGATTAAAAAAGTAGATGCGTTGTGAACCCTGACGGTGTCGTCTATATAGATAAAGAGTGTAAAGATTGCCTCTTCAACACTAAATTAGTTACAAAGTTCTCGTCATTTACTTATACGAAAGCATTTTAGCAGCATCATGCTGCTATTCAACGGTGATATTCTGTGCAAGAGTTTCCCTGGTCGAGCCGACCCGTTTATGCGGCAGTTATAACACTCAGCATGGCTCTCCATATGAAAAAATTTGCCTTAATCCTGGCTTTGCAGATTGAGTGATGAACGCAGTACTAGACATCGACGCTGCACCCCGACGCAGGTCTGTGTATTTTACATCGATGCTGCACCCCGACGCAGGTCTTTGTATTTTACATCGATGCTGCACCCCGACGCATATCTTTGTATTTTACATCGATGCTGCACCCCGACGCAAGTCTATGTATTTTACATCGATGCTGCACCCCGACGCAGGTCTATGTATTTTACATCGATGCTGCACCCCGACGCAAGTCTACGTATTTTACATCGATGCTGCACCCCGACGCAGGTTTATGTATTTTACATCGATGCTGCACCCCGACGCAGGTCTATGCATTTTACATCGATGCTGCACTCCGACGCAGGTCTATGTATTTTACATCGATGCTGCACCCCGACGCAGGTCTATGTATTTTACATCGATGCTGCACTCCGACGCAGGTCTATTTATTTTACATCGATGCTGCACCCCGACGCAGTTCTATGTATTTTACATCGATGCTGCACCCCGACGCAGGTCTATGTATTTTACATCGATGCTGCACCCCGACGCAGGTCTATGTATTTTACATCGATGCTGCACCCCGACGCAGGTCTATGTATTTTACATCGATGCTGCACTCCGACGCAGGTCTATGTATTTTACATCGATGCTGCACCCCGACGCAGGTCTATGTATTTTACATCGATGCTGCACCCCGACGCAGGTCTATGTATTTTACATCGATGCTGCACCCCGACGCAGGTCTATGTATTTTACATCGATGCTGCACCCCGACGCAGGTCTATGTATTTTACATCGATGCTGCACTCCGACGCAGGTCTATGTATTTTACATCGATGCTGCACCCCGACGCAGGTCTATGTATTTTACATCGATGCTGCACCCCGACGCAGGTCTATGTATTTTACATCGATGCTGCACCCCGACGCAGGTCTATGTATTTTACATCGATGCTGCACCCCGACGCAGGTCTATGTATTTTACATCGATGCTGCAACCCGACGCAGGCCTATGTATTTTACATCGATGCTGCACTCCGACGCAGGTCTATGTATTTTACATCGATGCTGCACCCCGACGCAGGTCTATGTATTTTACATCGATGCTGCACTCCGACGCAGGTCTATGTATTTTACATCGATGCTGCACTCCGACGCAGGTCTATGTATTTTACATCGATGCTGCACCCCGACGCAGGTCTATGTATTTTACATCGATGCTGCACCCCGACGCAGGTCTATGTATTTTACATCGATGCTGCACCCCGACGCAGGTCTATGTATTTTACATCGATGCTGCACTCCGACGCAGGTCTTTGTATTTTACATCGATGCTGCACCCCGACGCAGGTCTATTTATTTTACATCGATGCTGCACCCCCGACGCAGTTCTATGTATTTTACATCGATGCTGCACCCCGACGCAGGTCTATGTATTTTACATCGATGCTGCACTCCGACGCAGGTCTATGTACATCGATGCTCACCCCGACGCAGGTCTATGTATTTTACATCGATGCTGCACCCCGACGCAGGTCTATGTATTTTACATTGATGCTGCACCCCGACGCAGGTCTATGTATTTTACATCGATGCTGCACTCCGACGCAGGTCTATGTATTTTACATCGATGCTGCAACCCCGACACAAATTAAGATAAGAGATAAGTTGACTGCACTGCATATCGTGTAATGGCAGTTTGAGAATATCGACAGAGAGAAACTGAAACAGGAGATGGCAGAAGCATTTTCCTAAAAACAACTCAAAATAATAAAAAAACTGCGGTTGCTAACTCAAAATGTACTTTTATAGACTTTTATGGAATGGAATGGAAGGCCTGTTGCCTTCTCTGTCTGCAGCTATCTCGCAAATTAGTATAACTGTTATCTGTATAATATGCATTTTTAGGCAACAATGATACTGCGTTGTTTTTATAAAAATAGAAAATAGTAATATAACATTTAAAACAACAATAAGGAAAGAAATTACCATAAAAATCAAATGTTCCATGACGCTTAGACAGTCCATAAAGACGTCGAACTGGGGTAGAATCTCCACCGTACCTTGCGGTAGATCGTTGACATTTCGGCCGTTTACAGTCACAACTCCTTCCGAAGGTAATGTACATTTTCCGGCCAATGAAACAAGGAATGTGGTTTTACCAGCGCCGCTACAAATATATAGCCAAATATTAAAACCTTTGGTGATCCGTGTAGTCGATTAAGAACCATTAAACCATTTTTATTTTTATAGATTTTAAAAGTTAGTAGTTTTTACTTCTTAATAATATCTCCAGATTAATGTAAAATATGTGTAAAATATTGAGTAAAATTATATTATATCGCATTTCTAGTTTTCTTTGTTTGAAGTTGGTTGCAGGTGTCCAGGTGAATAGTGAGGAAACCTGCATAACTAAAAAATAAAAATAAAATATTCGAAGATATTTAAAATCTGCCAACCCGCACTTGGATTGCGCGGGGGACATTTTACTGTCCTAAAACCCTCTCGATGAAGGGTCCTGTACTCTACTATGGGATTTAACTTACAAAATATATAATTACAATTACTTTACCTTGGTCCAAGTATCGCCAAAAATTCTCCTGTTTTTATACAGTCTGTAACTGTAAAAAAAATTAAATATATTTTTATATTTGTATTTGTCAAAAGTTATAAAAAGGATAGGTTATAAAATCATATTAAAACGCAAAAAAGAAATCACGTGAATGTCTTGGAACAGATTACATGAAGTAGAAATTCATCTAGTTAATATGTGTTTAAGAAAAGAATGTACATGTTATATCTTATTTCATTAACAATTATAAATAATAACTTCATTATACGAAATAAAAAATAAAAACATACCATTGTTAAGTATTATGGTTTTAGGTTTACTAGGCTTCCTCTTCCACCAACGTTTTTCCTCTGACGTCCACACTTTGAGCTTCTCTACCTTCATAATTACCTCTTCACAACGCGGGGAATTCGGATTTGTCTGAAATTTAATAGATGAGGATATTATATAAGTTGAAAACAACATATAAATGCGTGTACAAAGAATTTTACATTTCATAAAGTGTCATCATAAGATATTGTAAAATATTTCAAAATATTGATATTAAGAAAACTGCAGATCTGTGGGGGGATTTCTGTTAAAGTTATTGCTTCTGTATTAGATACAATCGCTCCTCAACTTGCTATTATTTTTAATACTAGTATCGAATCTGGTAGTACATTGGAGCCCGCCGATTTAAGACCTAAGTATTTCTGTACTGCCAACATTAACTTTTTGAAAAAATATTCTTAGTTAATCTTTTTTTCTTAAAATAGTATTTTTTTATTAATAAAAGTTCCAAAAGGGGTCGCTCGGTATATAAAGGTAGGTATGTAAAGGTATTCATAGCTATTTTTTTATATTTTTTATTTCTATTAATCAAAGTAAATCAACCATGCAATCGAGCATCTTTGTCAACGTAGTGGCAGTTTGTTGATGCCCTTCTTGAAGAAATCAGCTGGACGGGAGCCAACAAATTCTTCAAAGTCATATTGAAATGCTTCTCGAGTATTGTATTTTATTTCCGCTTAAAAGTTATCCAAATTCTGGAAAAAGTAGAAGTCTCTAGGCGTGAGGTATGGTGAATACAGCGGATGACGAAGAGCTTCCAACCCCAGCTTTTTTAACTTGGAGACCGTCGGTTGTGCAGTACGAGGTTGATGCTAACGTCGAAAGCTACTGCAAATTCAGCCGTAAATAGAGTATCATCAGCTTCCACAATCACCTTTAATTCGTCAGTGTCAACCAAATTTTTCGAACGATCACGGAATTCATTTTTCAGGTCGATAATTTCAGAACGAAAGCGGGCAAACCAACCCGTTCGTTCGTATCGTTCGTGGTGCGTTCGTTTGTAGTATTCGGTCCGTAAACCGTCGTTGATAATGGGTAATATTCCATGTCGTGACATTCCACAATTACTCGAATTTTTAACGTATCCATGATGATGAAAAAGATAATAAAATGCGATGAAAAGTAATCAATAAACAAATGATTAACTTTGAAAAAATAATTCCATGATTTTAAAATAAAATTTAAAAGCATGGAATTCTTTCTGTTTGAAGCCAAAAAAATTATTTTGTTTTGAAACGGCCAGTACTGCAGAACGTCTAACTTCATTATAAAGGGCATAATTTCATTTGTTATAAATTTTAACAGACTGCTTTAATGGTTTTTGTGATGTCCATTGGTTTAATATTGAAGTTACCCTTTCTCATTGTCTTACCACATAATTTATGGTTGCATATCATAGTCGTTTAATTTCGATCTTGACTTCGACTATTTCTAACACTCTTGGGTTTTGTTTCTAACACTCTTATGCGAAAAATTATCATTATCATTTATATTGTCATTAATATGGTAGCCATCATTAAATTGTACACAAAAACTTAAATCTTTATAGGATAAGACCAGATATAACAGGTAATAATGTTGTTCTCTAGTCCGGTTTCGACGTCAACGTCACGATACATACGCGTCATTGACACAGGACATATTATAATGTCGTATACAGTATATACGCACAAACGCAGTGGCGCATATGTCCCCTTTCTAACCTATTTGTGCAATATGCGATAATTATGGGATAACATAATGGGATATTTGCCATAGTTGCCACGCTTGACAGGCGGATTGTAAACCGCAGTTTCTTATTTTCATGTTGTTATTCGGAAGACGCTGCTGCCCATCTCCTGGGCTGTTGTTGACGATATGGTGTGGTGGATATTCTCACGCCGCCTCTACGCTATCATGCTCTCAACCTTTAGCTGTCTCGTGCTACTTATATGTCATTGCTATTATCTTTCTATTGTGTCTGAAAACCGAACAGTGAAATTGTTAAAATACACAAAGCTTGCGGCGACATCGTTAGACGAAATTTTTAAAGAAGCAAAATTGTCGAAAAGCTAATTTATTTTTTTGTTTTTGTCAATATTACGTCATGGGTGTTCTCACTAGTTTGAATTTGAAACTGAAAAAAACAATTGGATACTTTAAAAAAATATTTACTATTTTTTCTATTCTTTTTTCTTACAGATATGACAGCAATGTTAAAAAAATTATATCGTAAAATTATTACATACGGAATTTAGCTCTAACGCTTTTAAATATTATGTTAAGATTAATTTAATGTTTAAAAGATATAAATGGACGTAAATTTCAAGGCAATTGTAAAATAATATGAACTCAAATTGAATACTTGAATAGTGATTGTAAAGATCTGACTCAATGTTTTCTTGTAATATAAGTACTTTGAAAAATAATAACACATCTTTTCAGGTTTTGACTTCAATTTATTCATAAAAATGTATAAAATTAACATTCTTCAATAAGAATTAGGTATTTAGTATCTATGAAAAATAAATTCAGGATAAATAAAACTACTTTTTAAAAATTTACTTACCTTCATCAACTCCATAATTAGTTACAGAACCACTATCAACAACAAACGCGCTATGTTTAAGTAACGTATTAAATAAAGTCTGCAGATATAATATTTTAAAATACAGACCAAAAATGCACTACAGCTGTTAAGTTTATGAGATTGATGAAAGAAAGAAAGATCGTAGGTAGGCGCCGTATCTCATAACGACATTGTTGTTCAAACAGATACGTGAAGATAACTCAGTTTCTGTATTTGTGTTCCTGACTACAATTTAAATGTGCTTGTCGCTTAAATAAATATGTATATGTACCTAATTTGCTCCCTTAGGAAACTGCCTAAACAAACTCGCGAGTTACATTTGAGATGCGATACAGACAGAGGCTAAAGTAAAATAAATAACATGGTATTCATAATATACTAAGACGTCGAAGTTTCTTAGTATCAGGTTTCTTTTAACATCGTTCAGTGCTTTAATAGTCATGATAATTGTACCGTATCGAAAACATGTAATATGCACCAATTCCTACGCCTTCGGATATTTTACACCACGTCTAAAATAAGAAATAGTGTTTTAAATTTGCTTGTTGTGTGACATGTAGCAGTAAAAAAATTGATTGATCCTGCAGGCCATCCCTGAAACTTCCCGCTAATTACAAATGCAAAGCACTCCAAATTTCACAAAATTATGTTGCGAAATCTCGAAGTTGTAATAAAAAACGTTTTTTTTTTTCAAATTATTTCTCCTTCGATATCTCACGAACGAATGAACTGATTTTTATTTTCCAAACGGCATTCGACGTCATTTTTTGAGATTAAGAGCTGATTTGTTTTTGAAATCGATCGGTAAAGTGATTGTTGAGTTGATTGGTGAAATTTTTCAAAATCTACCCGGCCAAATCACTTCATATTATCACCAAATCTATTCCACATTGAGATCTTTAGAAGGCCGCCAACCGCATCTCAATCGATCAAGACCTAATAATAGATAGTTTAAAAGTTATGAAAGGTTTATATACTTACACACACACACACACACACACACACCCACATACATACATACATCCGTACGGACGTCCACGGGAAATTAGTCAGAATAGCTTTCTGATATTTCAAAACGTCGAGATCTGATGAAAACTCGATTTTCGAAAATCGGGATGAAACCAATAATTTCCCTATTTTTGAAAATTATCGATTTTTTAGCGGGAAGTTAAAAAATTATTCACCCCCTTGCTTCTGCAAAGACAACGCCAGGTTAACCTTCTAACGAGCAGCAAAGATAGCTATAATTATTATAGTCATCAATTTGTATAATTTTTAAAGATTTGTCTGACTTTTTTTAAAACGATTCGTCATTCATCTTTGTTTATAAGATAAAAACAAGAAAACCTAAGACAACATGGCTCGATATGTCTTAGAAATATTTTTACTTGTTATATTGTTTCTTCCCAAACAATCAAAAATGTGTCACATAATGCAATATACATGTTGTGTTACTTCGAACATTCTACATGTAAGGTGGTTTAATTCTTTTTCTGCCAAGAGTTCATGTGAATAACTATCATTCACTTTTCTGTTTCTTTAAAAACTATTGTGGGTTAAAACAGCCAGTATAAATAGTAGATTTTGAGGCATTTCGTCTTCATCGTTCTTTCTTTGGGATAAGACGCCAGTGTCCTATTTAGTATCAAGTATAATGCAATCTTATTTGTCTCTTTGCGTTATAAAAACAGAAAGGCGACTTTCATTGGCAACCATAATGACGGTATAAGATGACGCCGAAACTTTATATGTGGTAGAGCCATTGACTTACCGGGAAAGGACCACACTCTCACAGAATACCAGCGTAAAATAGTAGCTTAATGCTGCTGTGTTTCGTATGGTTAGTGTAGAGAACCGGAGACCCTTTTTACCGGAAACGAGGTATTTCATCTTAGTCCTTACGGGTGACAACGCATCTGCATTTTGATTCGTAATCAAGGATAGATGAAGATGTCTATGGGCCATAGCAACCACTTACCATCAGGTGGACTGTGTGCTCGTTTGTCACCGTATCCTATAAAAAAGGAATACCACTATGAAATAGCAGCTTAATGCTGGTGAGTTTTGTTTGGTGAATGTAGACAACCGTAGACGCTGTTTACTGGAAGTAAGCATTTCATCTTATTCATCAACGGGTGATAACGCATCTGCAGTTTGATTCTTAATCGCGGAATGATATAGAAATCTATGGGGTATATATATATATATATAAGATATGGTATATATATATATATATATATATATATATATATATATATATATATATATATATATATATATATATATATAGTATAGCATCCACTTACCGTCACGTGGATGTTGTTCACCTTTATTTTATAACAAAAACTAAATCAGATGACGAGCTGAATTCAAAGAACTCAGGGCTATACAGCTCAGCCACAAAACGTGCTTTCAATAAAAGATGTATTTTAAACAATTGATTTAGTTCAAATTGCAATGATGATGCTAAAGCTAAAAGATATTGGTTCACTTTTACTTTTGATTGCTTGAGTTGTTCATATGCCTCTTAACTACATTGATTATGGAGATATAGTGGACGAGATAAGTTATGTTATGATTTATGAGTGTATGACATAGCATAAAATAGGTACAGATATATTATACGGACATAGTAAAAACCGAAATGTTGAATTACGTTATCTTTTGATAGTTATTGATGTTAAGAAAAAAATATATTCCATTAAGAAATAAACAAGAATTTATTAGATATAATATCTCAGATTTATTATTATTTACGTTCGTCAATAAAATTAATATTTATGATGACTGATAAATTGAATAATTTTATGTAAATTGTAAAGGTTAACTAATATATCATACGTTATACACACAACAAATATTGTAACATATTTATAATAGTTTAAAATTTTAATTAAACTCTAAGGAACACCAGTGGGTTAAAACGGAGACAAAACAATAATTAATTCGAATATACAATGACCATCACAAAATTGCAAAACGTGTTTCCGCCCGGGATCGAACCGGGGACCTTCTGCGTGTTAGGCAGATGTGATAACCGCTACACCACGGAAACTTGATTCATAGTGTTCAATTTTAGAATAACTTTCTAAAACGTTTATTCTAAATAGACAAAATATTTTATTTCAATATATAGTTATCTTATTTATGTTAATTTTAGTATTATAAGATAAATATTAATTAAATTAAACCGTTATATCACTGACCTCTATCTTGAATATATATAGAGGTCAGTGCGTTATATGTAATAATTTTCATATATTTTTGATACAAGCAAGGCCAGAACGGAAGAATGTACGGCAAAAATAAAACGTCAAAAAATAACAAAAAAGGTACCAAACAGATTGACAGGTGTCTGTTTTATTCATAGTAAAATTGTTCTTATTATAATTTAATGTTTTATATTGAAAGGTTATTTATTTTACTATATCCTGCTAAGGCACTGCCCTACACCTGCCGGGCAAATTTAATAATTTGGGTAAGAATAATTTATAGCATAGTGGTGGCTTAAAAAATTCTTATACCCCTTATCATCCCTAGGATGTCGTAAGAGGCGGCAGAGGGAAATTGAAACAGAAGAGCGACAGCGGCTGTTATGATAACAATTCTTTCTGATAACACAGTCACTGCGTTTGGCAACCCACCTGCTAGCGTGGCTACTGTGGCGAACATCCAACATACGAGGTCATCTATGGGGTAAAACTGTGTTCAGTAGTAGACTTGTAATGCATGAATGATGAAAAAAGAGAAAAAAGAATATGCTATGTTCTTCAAATTCAAATTCAAATTCTTTATTTGCAACTAAATAGGTACAAAATGTTTTCTTATTGATGTTATACTGTTATGTGTTAAGAAAACCTATTTAGCTGTTTTCAACAGCATGCAAATATTCAAAAGTTTTTATAATAAAATCAATTACTAAATTTCATCTATATAAACAAAGTAAAACGTCATTTTACAATCTTTATAAATAAATAAATTTTTTTTTATATATATATATATATAAATTAATTAATCAATGCATCGATTTTTAATTAACGATAAAACTACTTAGTCACTACAATTCAAAAACTCATTTACTGTATAAAATGCTTTATCTACTAGCCATCGTCGAAGTGACATTTTAAACTTATTATAAGGTAATTGCTTAATATGTGAGGGTATTTTGTTATATATCGTGTTACACATTGCATAGCTATTTTTTTGAAAGCGCTTACTTTTTGGAATTGTGTCAAGTACTAATTTATGTGGGTTCCGTAAATTTATTTTTGTTGCATCTTTAGTTTGTAAGAATAAGTGCTTGTTTTGCATTACAAATTTGCCTACCTCAAATATATAGAGGCAGGGAAAAAGAAGTATGTTTAAACTCTTAAAGTAAGGCTTGCATGATGTGTCTGATGGGATGTTACTAATAGCTCTAATACAGCGTTTTTGTGCTAAAAATACTTTTTGAGAGTCTGTGCCATTACCCCACATTAAAAGTCCGTATCTGATAACAGATTCTACATATTATGCGAAATACGCTGTGACCGCTGTATTTTTGTTTGCTATTTTTGTCAATTTATGTAACGCGTACACAAATCTGTTAATTTTGTTACACACTTTATGTATATGTTCTTTCCAATTCAGGTTCGAGTCTATAATTAAACCTAAAAATGACGTACTAGTAGCGTTCTGCAGAAGTTGTCCATTATATTCAATATTAATGTCAGAGCTTAAGTTATTAAAATTAATGATATTTGTTTTACTTAAATTAATGTGTAGATTATTATTATTAAGCCATTTATTTACTGAATTAATTGTATTTATAATGTCCGTTTTATGTTGATCTAGTGGTTTTTTTTACTAGTCGTTATCGTCATCGATATGTCATCTGCAAATAAAGTAGTTTTATAGTTTGAGATGTCAGGTAAATCATTTATGTATAAAATAAACAACAATGGTCCAAGTACACTACCTTCCAAATGGGAACCTTACCTGCGTGCGGTGCATCA